TCTGAAACTTTTTCGAAGTTTAGCAATTCTCTGTTCAAGCCTTGAGATTTCTGTGCTTCCATTTGTAGGTTCTGAGACATCTGTTGTACCTAATGCGCATATCAGAGAAGTCTATCCAAAGACGAGTTTCTCTTGCTCTTGCTCATCTTTGTTCACCAGAGGATCAGAGAACCATATTCATAGATGACAATGGTATGTGACAGCTTTCTGAATTTATTATGTTAATACTTTTGACGCGCTAACTTTTCAGTTTAGATGTTCTTAATGCAAAAAATTATATATCGAGTTGTCTTTTGACAGGGTTGGAGTTGCTACTTGGTCTTCTTGGTTCTACAAACATTAAGCAGCAACTTGATGGTGCTGCAGCATTGTACAAATTAGCGAATAAATCTATGGCACTTTCTCCAGTTGATGCTGCTCCTCCGTCTCCAACACAAAGGGTGAGTTTCCTTCTTCCTTAGCTTTTTAAAAAATTAGTGGTGGATGTCTCAATGCAATATTCTGTTTTGTTTTTTTTTTTTTGTGACAGGTTTATCTCGGAGAGCAATATGTAAATAATGCTACGCTGTCTGATGTAACTTTTCTAGTCGAAGGTAACATATCAATCCGGAAGTTGCAGCAGTCTTGTTACGTCCAAATTTTAAATGTAAAGCAGAAAAAAATTATACTGCAGGAAGGACATTCTATGCACACAGAATTTGTCTGCTGGCTTCCTCAGATGCATTTCGTGCAATGTTTGATGGTGGTTACAGGGTAAGTGAATTAAAAAAACATTTGGATGACCAATCCTTGTCAATACGTTCTTGTGGAGAAATGAAAAAATATCATTTACTAGCTATGATGACTATGACCTGTGGGTTTATGCTGCTCTGCTCTCTGCAGAGGAATTCAATAGTATTTACATATCTTGTGTGCAAATTAGAGCTAAAATATCTCATTCAGTTTGTATTTCGTTTATACCGCAGGAAAAAGACGCTAGAGATATTGAGATTCCGAATATCAAATGGGAGGTTTTTGAGTTAATGATGAGGTATGAGGAGCTTCGACAGGCTTTAGTCGTGTGAGAACTCTTTATTCATTTACATGTAATTGACTCACACTTTGATTATGAATGTTCAGGTTTATATACACTGGATCAGTCGACATAACAATTGAGATAGCACAAGATCTTTTAAGAGCAGCGGATCAATATCTCTTGGAGGGGCTGAAGCGACTCTGTGAATACACAATTGCTCAGGTGACCCAGAATTAATGCAAATCGTGGTTTGCATAATAATATATATTAAATCTGAAACGGTTGCTTATGAATGGAAAGGATATAACGTTGGAAAACATAGGAAGCATGTACGATCTCTCAGAAGCGTTCCACGCGATGTCGCTGAGGCAATCTTGTATCTTGTTCATCCTGGAGCACTTCGATAAACTGAGTTCAATGGATGGGTAACATAAATTAGCTCTCATCTTTCTCTCTCTCTTTCTCTCTCTCATCGACATATATCTGAAACACAGTGAATGAAAAATGCAGGCATAATCAGCTGGTGCAGCGAACAGTACCAGAGATAAGAGAGTATTTTTGTAGAGCTCTAACAAAGTCTACTACAAACCTGCAAAGCTTGAGGTTGTAGAATGTGGAAGAAGAAGAAGAAGAAGAAGAAGAAGATTGCATCTAACTAGAGAGGTAAGTAGACAAGGAACTTATAGAGAGAGAGAGAGAAAGAGGGAGCCGCTATTAGAGGTCTTTATCGTCCTGTCCTATCCCGAGTTGCCAGGGCCGTGCCCATGTTAAGAATATGGTTCATTACGGTTCATTCTCGTCACTATATTGTGATTGTATTAGTCTCTTCTTCTTATTACTGTCGTCTTCAAAGAAATGATCACGTTGTATCCAAATGGTAAACTTCCATTATTCATTTCAAAAATCTCGGTCTATATAATACTCTCTGTTGAAGGAAAAAAAGTACTTTAGGTAGGTTGTGAGACTTATGATGATGAGATATGTATAATTCGTAGTGAGAGACTAAATGAGTCCTTGTCTGAATGATTAATAACTACACACATTAGCCAACTGATTATGTGAGGAACCGATATATATATACTGTACAATCATGTGGTTATTGTAAATCTATGTAAGTGCTACTACTACTCTCATATTTGGAATTACGTATTTATATATTTAATACAAAAAATAGTATTGAAAAATAATAGATCAATATTTTTTAATTAAAAAAAATATTTGACTATACCTTAAGAAAATAATAAAAAATAAAATAAATATACGTAAAGACAACAATGTTCTACATCTACAGACGTGGGAGGGAGATTTTAATTTAAGGAGCACCGGTGAAATATTTCTTTCTGGGGATACCCGAAACACAAACCCTAAACACTTACATTTCGCAGCCACAGAGAGAGACTCAGAGCTTCGAGATTCAGCCAATCTTCATCGCTTAGGTACGCCTTTTTCTTTTGTTTATTCTCATTGCATTCGGAGACTTTGCCTGATCCGATTCTCCGATGCCAAATACCGATGTTCCTTCATCAGAGTTCGCGATTAGATGCTTCTTATCCACTAGTGAATGTGATCTCCGATCTTTACGATCACTATCCTTATCTCTATTATAGATTTATGCACAGCATTTTTTGGTGGCTTGTTATAAGATTCAGTCTCATGATATTGTTTTATTTCCAATCCATCAATAATCAATAGTCTTTCTGCTTTCGAAAACTGTGATTTTGTCGAAGATGCAAATGGTGATTAATTGTTTTTTCTTTGATATCATTTACAGACATTGAATAAACTCTGGATTTGTGATTATGGCCGATACACTTGATTCCCGACCTCATGCATTTTCGATTAAGCTCTGGCCGCCGAGTTTATCTACGAGGCAAGCTCTCATAGAGCGCATAATCAACAACCTCTCCTCTAAGACCATTTTCACCGAAAAGTACGGTAGCTTAACCACGGAGCAGGCTATGGAGAATGCCAAGAGGATCGAGGACATTGCTTTCTCCACTGCAAACCAACAGTTTGAGAGGGAACCTGACGGTGACGGCGGTTCAGCTGTACAGCTTTATGCCAAAGAATGCAGTAAGCTCATCTTGGAAGTTCTCAAGAAAGGCCCTGTTTCTAAAGTTGCCACGAGAGATTCCATCTCTGAGGAATCTGCTCCTCTCCGTGAAACTGTTTTCGATATCTCCAAAGGCAAACGGGATTTTATCGAGGCTGAGGAGGCTGAGGAGCTTCTTAAACCATTGAAGGATTCTGGAATTGCTTACACTAAGATATGCTTTAGCAATAGGAGTTTCGGCTTGGGAGCTGCTCGTGTCGCTGAGCCTATCTTGGCGTCTCTGAAAGATCAGCTTAAGGAAGTTGACTTGTCGGACTTTGTTGCTGGGAGACCCGAGGTTGAAGCTCTTGAAGTTATGAATATATTCTCCAATGCACTGCAAGGTAGTGTTCTCTCATCTCTCAACTTATCAGAAAATGCATTGGGTGAGAAGGGTGTTAGAGCATTTGGGACACTCTTGAAATCTCAGAGCTCTTTGGAAGAGCTGTATTTGATGAACGATGGTATCTCCAAAGAAGCTGCGCAAGCGGTCTCTGAGTTGATTCCTTCGACGGAGAAGTTGAGGGTCCTTCATTTTCATAATAACATGACGGGAGATAAAGGTGCGGTTGCAATTGCAGAGGTTGTTAAACGTTCGCCACTGCTGGAGAATTTCCGTTGTTCTTCCACAAGAGTCGACTCAGAAGGGGGAATCGCCTTGTCAGAAGCACTTGAGCATTGTGCTCATATGGAGAAGCTTGATCTGCGGGATAACATGTTTGGCACAGAAGCCGGAGTTTCTCTGAGCAAAACTATTTCAAGCTTCAAACACTTGACTGAGCTGTACTTGAGTTATCTAAATCTAGAGGATGAAGGTGCCATAGCCATAGCAAACGCTCTCAAGGAGTCTGCTTCCCCCATTGAAGTTCTTGAGATGGCAGGAAATGACATAACAGTTGAAGCCGCTTCAGCTATCGCAGCCTGTGTAGCAGCAAAACAAAGTCTGAACAAGTTGAATTTGTCTGAGAATAAGCTAAAAGATGAGGGATGTCTCCAGATTGCAAAGAGTGTGGAAGAGGAACATTTGAAATTGCAGTACTTGGATATGAGCAACAATTACATAAGAAGAGCCGGAGCACGGGCCTTGGCTCATGTTGTTATCAAAAAAGAAGGTTTCAAGCTGTTGAACATTGACGGGAATATCATATCAGAGGAAGGCGTTGAAGAAGTGAAAGAGATATTTAAGAAATCCCCAGAGTTACTTGGAGCGTTGGACGAGAATGATCCTGATGGAGAAGAAGAAGAAGAAGAAGAAGAAGAAGATGAGGAAGACGAAGAGAAGGAAGGTAAGGGGAATGATGAGTTGGAATCAAAGCTGAAGAACCTTGAAGTCAATGAGGATGATTAAGTCTGTAACGTTGGTACTTTTGAATGTTTATCGTTTGTTTTGTACTACCAGGATTACTTTAGCTGCGGCTACAAATACCTAAATATTGAGACTTAGGTGTTTGTTTTTATATTTGCTGATATCTTATTAATCCTTTAAAAAAAAAGAAAACGATTATATCTCTATTCTAAGGCATACATATGAGGCAATCTTAAACTAGTAGAATTATTGAAGATGACACATTTACAACAGTCGCCATATTCACTCTCGAGGATATGTCTGTGTTTTTAGTCAATAAAAGCAAGACAAGTAAAATAATGCACTAACATAATTCTACGAAGGCTGTGCAAAGGCAAGAAGAGGTTTGATCAGTTGAAACCAACTTCATTGGTAGTTTTTTGTAGCATTCTGTTATAAACTCTTTCTACGATGATGACTGGTTTGTGTAGATGTAAAGACTCATCTCTCACACTTGCATAACAGATACTCACTTTCCAAATAACATCTGACTCAAATTATTTGTGGAAGAAGAAGATCACTGAAGAAAGCTACTAAAGAAAAAAAGGTTTTTAAAATGAATTTATTAGATAAGCTTATCTGAATGTATATCGGTTGGTAAATGTCAATACAAAACAAAGAACTTTCATGGATTTTATATCAAATCCGCAAGCAGAACAATACTGTTGAAGAAATCAAAACCCCAAATTTCGATTTCTTACAGTAAATCAAACCCAGAATCAGATTCTCCTACCCTTTCTAGTAGTGACAGTTTTCATCGCACTCACAGTCACGTTCAAAGGAAGCGGAGGCTTCCTGTTCTCCTTAGTCATGCTCCTCAAAGAATACCTCGGCGTAGTCTCAACCATGGAAACAGCCTTCTTCTTGGAGGTTGTTCCTCCTCTTCTCTTGGTGGTCATTGGCTCATGGTTGACTCCGAGATTGTAAGGAGTTGCTTTGACTAATCCCTCCAAAGCAACATCTCCTCCTCCTCTCTTCCGCCTCAATCGCTCGTTCCTCTTGGCCGAGTACTCCTCGTAGAACCTCCCTCTCTCGAACACTGGAACCGAGTTTGCAGCCAAATTTTCCAGATTCGAACCAGCAGCTCTCGACTTTAGATCCTCTTCTTCAGCAAACTCTTTCTCGACCATCTTCGCTAGCGCGTGTATCTCGCTCGAGATTGACGAGTATTCGATCGGGAGTTTCGATTCCAGATCTGCACCGCTCAATCGTTGTACCGACTTCTGGAATTTCGTCAGACCTGGTTTGAGGGGAGAATCATCAGATTCTTGAAATCGATAGAGAGATAGGGAAATTAGATGATGGGAGAAAGTGTGAGAAAAGTACCTGGTGGTGTTTGCAGAGATGAAGAAGAGTTAACCTGGCGTGATCGGAGACGGATTGGCGATTTGGGAAGCGGTGGTTTCAGGTAAGAAGATCTCATCCTCGACATTTCTCCAAAAACCTTTTTTTTTTCCTGTCACAGAGGTTCAAATTTCTCAAAGAGACAGAGAGAGACTGTGTGAGAGAGAGATTTGTTTGCTTTATTATCATTTTTGGAGGAGCGCCCCTTAACGGTTGTATTTTGCTTGATCCGACGGCCTAGATTGGTCCAGATTTCAAAAGGAAGGTTTGTTTTTTTTTCAATTAGAAGAAGAAGGCGCAATAATGTTGAACCGTTTTTAAACATTAATTATTTTATTCATTCAATAACATTACCTTATTGGGAGGATTCGCCTTTAGTTAAAGGGAGAAAATCTAGGAATGCCAAGTATGGTTCGAAGACTAGTAATTAAGATATACTAGTAGACAAAACGTGTCTTTACCTCTTATCTTGTGAATTAAATTTGTTGAAATGAGAAAGAAATATGGTCTTGTGGTTACTTGTGATTCATAAGGGAACTTTTACAAACTAAAAATACGTTACACACTTTTGAAAAAAAAAAAAAAAAACTTGAACCGTAAGAGATTGTCTTCTCTGTTATCTCGGGTTCATTCAGAAACTAAGATTGAACCACAAGTACACAACCATGAAGTGAAACCCACAACATGACCAACACCCTCCTCGTAGGGGTTTTATAATGTAACCCTCTGTTTCAATCATCGCAAATTAACCCATATACAGTATATTAATATTGCAGTAGCATATAAAGGTCTATACATATGTTCAGTTTAATAGCTACAACTAATATGTATTGTGTGAGATTCATAAATCAAATGAAAACTATATTGCAATCAATGCAAACACAAAGCATAAGCATATTTTTAACAGTAACAATGGCATTGTGGTCTACTAGGAAGACGTTTGCAAAAACCGCCTTTCTTGTTCTTACACCCTTTAAGACACCAAGTGTTGCATCTCTTCTTGTCTTGTTGCGTTTTGCATACTCCAAAATTCGGATGTGTGTTACAGCACAACGAACCGTCGGACTCGGACCCTTCAACATCTATATAATGCATGCAAACATTTTCACCTTTAGTAACCGCACGTAGAGATCAAACTAATGCCTAAAATTTTCGTTCCCAAATACAGCCAACACAATGGTGAACCACATAAAGTTCTGTGTTTTTGTATCTTCTCGCAATCCGTTATAACAAACTTGTTCTTTATTATTATTATTTTTTTTTTTTTGGCGTTTTCATCAATTTTCATGCAAACGCATATTATTTGCTCTTCTTCTTAAAAAACTCGATTCAATTATGTTTTTCATCTGAGATTTTTTTTTTTACATTTATGAATTTTTTGGTTGCTGCAAATATATTGTTATTATAAATTATCCAAAATCCAAAAAATCATAAACCAAAAACTAGTTTAAAAGTACGAACATTTTTTTTCCTAGAAAAAAACTACAAACATTCATGTAGAGAGACTAACCAACAGAGAGCAGAAGGATAAGTAGCATTGCAAAAGACACGAGTTTCATGATGGTGCTCATCTTCTTCCCCTCCTCCCTACGACTTTAAGTATTTTTTATCTTTTTTCGGAGTACTCTTCCATCTATTTATCCTATTTTGCCAACGTATTATAGATTTAGATAAAAAAAAGGCAAATGCTATTTCCTGTTTTGATGGATCACACATATCCTTTTCTCAAGACCAATTAATTTCTGTAGATTTTTGTAGATTTAGGCCTTAAATATTTGTGGATCTTTTACTGGCTTTGGTTTTAGACCAAAAAAAAATGTTAAACGCGTATTTTACGTAAGGAGTCCTACAATGGCGTAAGTACAGTTGCAAGAAGGCACAAAACAAAAAACAAAAATATTGTACTAAGACAAGTTGAGGAAAGGACCAAACTCAAAAATGTCTAATATTTGAAGAAACTTCTTCTCAGTTTCGTCTACTTCCGTTTGAGCTTCTTTTACCTCTAAAAGAAGTCATAAAAGAGTATCTTGACCTTTTCTTCTTCATGAGTATTCCAACTGAATATTGGTCTCTTCTCATTTTCTTCTTCACTCTGTATCCCGCTCTCCATTCTTTCCTCTTCTTCGTCTCCTTCGTTTCTGAGAGACTTTTGAACCATCTTCTTCTTCACTCTCCATCGCTTCCATCCACTGCAATTCGCTTAACGAGTCGCTGTACACTGCTTCTTTTCGTTTCCGCTTGCCCGTGACGCTACCAAAATGGCATTTCGAAGTCTTAGACTCGTCTTCTTGAGTCTGTGAAGTGAAAGCCCATTCAGGAACTTCCTTGTCTTCCATGAGACGTGTCCTGTAGTTCTCTTTTTGACGTCTTTCCTCGTCCATTTGTTCAAACATCCAAAACTCATCATCAGTTCGAGCTGCGAGCCGGTTAATCTCTCTTTCACTCGGTACATCCGTCCCCAGTGAGCTCGTTCCTTTGCTCATGATCTCTTCCAGCATCTCCCTCCTGTCTTGAGCTGTTGATGAATCAAAGAGATTATTAGCATCTAGTCCAAAATCATGTTTTAGTTGATAAGAATATATGTACGTGTGTTTGACGACATTTTACCATAGAAGTTGTGTTGAAAAGTCCTGCTTGTATGACTTTGGCATCAATGCCCATCTTTTGCTTTGCACGCTCCAATATCACTTCTTCAATGGACCCAATGCTCACCAAAACAAACACTCTCACTTCCTTCTTCTGCCCTATCCGATGGGCTCGATCCTCTGCCTGCTGGTCCATTTGTGGATTCCAATCACTGTCGAATATAATAACAGTGTCTGCAGTTTGCAAGTTCAATCCAAGACCACCGGCACGTGTGCTCAGAAGAAACATGAAGTAAGGAGAGTCCGGTTCGTTGAATTGCTTCAGTAAAATCCCTCTTTGGTCTGTCTTTGTGGTACCGTCTAGTCGGAGGTACTTGTAGTCATTGAGTGTCAAGTAAATTTCGAGAAGGTCGATGAGACGAGTCATTTGAGAGAAGAGAAGAATTCTGTGTCCAGCTCTTTTTAGTTTAGGAAGGAGGCGATCAAGGAGCTCGAATTTCCCTGAAGCTCTTACAATCTCTGGCTTCTTCCACATGTCATAGTCTCCTCCAACGAATAGGTAGGGATGGTTACAACACTTTCTTAATTGCATTGACAGAGTCTGCAGACTCTTTGATCTTCCATTCCCTGCACATAGAGACTCCATTAGCAATTAAGCAGTTGTACTTATTGATATATTTTCTTTATATGAAAACATTTTAGAGAGAGTACAAGTTAAAGATAAGCTACAAACTAACCCGTATGAAGGCCAACCCTGCCTACGTCTGTAACTTGTTTGTAATACAGTTTTTGCCAAGCTGACATATCACACTTCAGTACGACCTGTGTCTTTCCGGGAAGGAATTTCTCAACTTCTTTTTTTTTCCTTCTCAGTAGAAACGGCCTTATGACCTTGAAGTGACATTAACACTGATTGTTATTCCATATAGCGAATTTGCTAAAACATAGTTTAAGCAAAGAAAGGTGCATAATAAACTCAGTAACTCACCATATGCAGACGATTAATAATCAAAAGCTCCTCTTCATCTGTAAGACTGGCATTACCACGTTCTGCGAAAGGAGAATTAAACCATTCTTCGAAATTCTGAACCGAGTTAAAAATCTGAGGAAGGAGAAAATTAAGCAGCGACCATAGTTCTTGTAGACTGTTCTGTATAGGCGTGCCAGTTAATAAAAGCCTGCGCTTAATACGGTAGCTGCATCCAGGGAAAAAAAATACTGTAAGCAAAGTGTATTCCAATTTCCTCTGTGACAGCATCATGAAAAGATGTATCAAAGTAGCTAATTTCGTAATAATGCTTGTCTAAGAAATTCCATTAAGAAACTCGATAGTCTTCTCAAAGAAGAGAGTATACAGAAACATACACTGTTACTAGAGTCCTTGCGAGAGCACATTCATGGTTTTTCAACCGATGTCCTTCATCAACAATTATGTAATTCCAGTCAATTTTCCTCAAAAATCCTTTATCTTTCAAGATAAAATCGTAGTGGGTCATCAACACGTTGAATTTTCCTTCTTCTGCTATTCTTGCTTTTATTTCATTCCTTTTCTCTTTGGATCCATCGTAAAGAAAAGCGACAATGCTGTCAAATGGAAACAAATGCAGCGAATTTCGTGAATAACATCTATATACCCAGTTTGGTGCCCATGTTTGGAATGGAACATACCTGGGTGCCCATGTTGCAAACTCATTTTCCCAATTTGGTAGAACAGCTTTAGGAGCCACTATGAGATGAGGCCCAGGCACATTTTTATTCTCAAGAAGATAAGCAATCAGTGCAATTGTTTGGATAGTCTTTCCCAAACCCATCTCATCAGCTAAAATTCCATTATAGTCGTTGTTGTATAGAGAGACCATCCATTGAAGCCCTTCTAATTGGTAAGATCTTAGTTCCCCACCTTGAAAAAGGGACGGCTGCTTTGTCACCTGTTAAAATCAAACATTGATAGCTGAGTTTAACAGACTTAACCATACTCCTATTTAACTATAAAAAGCAATCAAAATTACCTTCTCTTGTATCGAATGGATAGCCAAGTTATACTGCCTCTGGCCTTTTAGTAAGTCATTAGAGTCGTCATTATTGTCAGACTCAATGATCTCAATATCTTGGTCAGGATGCACATCCTCGGGAGAATCAACTTCAGATAAGTCAGAATCTGAGCCTTTCAGTATGTTGATGCCTTCTGAAAGTTTAGCATCTTTCTGACGCTGGGCTACAGCTCCCAAACTAACTAGGATGTTATTTGTCTCCTCTAGAAACAGGGTTAGTTTTTCGTCCTTACTCTCCTTTGCTAGTTTCATGTATGCCTCTTGATCGTCAGATTTAAGCGCCATGATCCTTAGTTTCTCAGCTCGTGTAGCGCGTTGCCTTTGCCTTCCATGCCAGGCCTGTTAGATAATGTCTTTTTTTCTTTGTAACAAAGTTTGTATAGCATGTATAGTGAGCAATGACTAACATAATGCGAGGATAACATACCTGGACACTATCATTTCTTTGCTTACGGCGTCTCTGAGACACCTGAATCTGCAACTGGAATTCACGAACAGCATTGAGCACTTCTGCAAAGAATTTCCTCTGTGTCGTTTCAATCAGATTCTTCTCCTCTTCTTGCAATCGTAATAACCTCTGGACAAAGACTTTGAAAGCATCAGCAAGGAGTTTATTATGTCACTAATCATCATCAGCCAACTAAGATTTGGTCACAAGTTTTACACACTAGTTCTTCAAAATTCGTTATACAAACCAGTTTCCAAACAAAAGAATTCTTTCCTCTTATGACTGAGGATCAAGAAACACTTCATCAATAGAGGAAAAAAGTAAATAACCTAAACAAACAAAAAAAATATAATTTCACCTCGGCATCACGCTTGTTTCTGAAATGATCATTAGCTTCCATAGCAAAAGGATCTCCAACCCCATAAAGCGGGCGAGGCAACCGCATCATGCCCCAATCATACAGTTGGCTATCGGGACGCGCACAATTCAAACGCAGCCAGTATTCCGAGCTCACCTCAGCTCGAACCTTGCGTTGTAGTTCTCGTAGCTGCCATACATCAAGACGCATTCACCAAGTGTCAATGAAACCATGTTTTTAAAGGTGAGTGACACACAATAAAAAGAGAAAGACATAAAAATACCTTAAGGTCATAAAGTTCAAATAAGCATTTTTCTTGCAATTCTTGGCCTCTAGTGGAAGGTAATCCTGATTCAACACACAAGAGTGTGAGCACACAAGATAAAATTGCAGCAAATTAGGAGAGGCTAAAATCAGCAAATCACCTTCAAGTTGAGATAATCGGTGTTGGATATGACTAATACGCCGAATCTCCTCTAATTCGGTCAATCGAGAGGCTGATTCATAGTTTTGTCGCTGCTTCGAAAGTGCATCTTCGAACTCGCTCATCAAATCACCTCCATAGGGAGTCAAAATTTTTTCCTGCAAACGCCAATTTGAGCAAAATTCGATCCACAAGCACCAAAAAGACCACGAATCCGAACAACGAAAGAAACGAAAATCAAGAGGAGAAACTCCGAGGAGTTGCTTACCGGAGGAGGAGGAGAGGCATCGGAGAGCGAGCCATGGTAGATGGAAGAAACGGAATCGTAAAGGTGAAAAGGCAAGAGGAGATCGCGAGAAACGTAGTTGAGCGCAGAGATCAGAGACTTTGTCTTCTCCACGGGATCGTCCTGAAGAAGACTACCGTTCTGCTCTTTTAGCTTCGTCACCATGGCGGGAACTTTCGACTGTCAAACAGATTTTTGTTTTGAAATAAGGAAATTTAGTTTTAGCCCCAAAAGTTAAACGAGACGGGAAGAAATTTGAGTCGCTCTAATTTCGACGACTTGGATTGCAAACCCAGCGGCTAATATATCCACTTTCCCCTAAAAATCCCCTTTCTTGTCGGTTTTACGGAATTACCCTTTTTTATTATGGGCCGGCCTTTGAGGCTCATTTACATATTTATTATAAGTTAGTGGGCCCATTCACGTAAGTAATCATTTTTTAAGCAAGTTACTTATTGATAATCCATAAATCTCTTGTTCAGGACTTTAATTTTCACTGTAAAGATGACTACATTTCTTGTGCTACCATTGGAGACAAAATTTGATACACCGAAATTGGGATAGTAATGTTGAGAACATAACTTGATCCAAATTCTAAAACATCATTTAGAAGTTTTCTCAACATGAATTACAGTACATCACTCTTCTTCAAAAAGACCTCAAATCCATGAGAAGAAGAGTAGCTTCTTCTTTGACTCTTTTATCAAGCTTCGAGTCTTCTCACTGCCCTGTTAATGGGTTCCTGGAAGTACTGAAGTGATATAAACATCGCTTCCTGCATATTTATCGCACAATTTTCTCAGCTCAATCATCATTGAACATACAAAAGAACAAACCCATTCGCATATACAGAAATAAAAAATCTCATAAGACAATTCCGCAAATACCTCCGTTCGGATGGTTCGGCTTCCTTGATGTGGACAAGTATTCAAGTATATATCGAACGCTTCTCGAACGTTTTTCCCCTGTAAAAATGAAGTCTTTTTCTTAGTGTCCATATCAAAGACACATTACGCACCAAACATTCTTAAATCTTTGAAAACTTTTGAATCTTTGTGAAACATAAAGAGCTAAATAAGAGTTTTATAACAGAACTTTCTTAATCTTATCAGGGTCATGGAAACACATTTACCTTATACTGATTATCTTCTTCAATACTTTCTTCAAGCCCAGCGAGTCCACCAAATGCAATCAATAGGTGCCTGTGCTTTCATGCCACAACCATCTAAGTCAGTCCCCAGATTCAAACTGCTAATAATGTGTTTAGACATAAACTTATACCATGTTAGGGGGAAATGAGAATCACCTAAATGTTGGTAATTTCAGCTCTGATGAACTAATTTTTAGGCCGTGCTCCGAGGTACCGATCAAATAATCATAACCACCCTGCTTTGGTATTAAGAAATAAGGTTAGGAAGGAAATGATCTAATCAAAGAAGGATGAGGAGCAGAGTATCCTAATTATTACCTCAAAAGGGCAGTCATTGAATACTGAACTTAAGTGTGATGCATATCGTACTTTGTATCCCCAATACATTCCTGCTTCTTCCCTTGGCTTAGAGAGCGGAACAATCTGGCGTACCAAATCTAGATGAACCAAATTCAAAGTTTATAAACCTAACATTTTATCTCTAGGTGACAATTTTCTGAGTGAAAGGAAGATTTTAGAAACAAGGTATATGATCTTAACTTAAGTTTGGAGACAGATGCGTATGATAATTTGAAAGGTATACAAAGATTATCACTTATCAATACCTAAATCGTGGTTGGTTCCCATGGCTACAGTGACTCTAAGTCCTGGGCCAAGCACTTGATCAACAACGACACTCTGCATCACGAGCATCAAATAAAAGTCAATAACATTATAAAAAAAAAATAACACTCAAAAAAATTTGTAAAGCAAAGGGTTAAAAATGACCCGACTGAGATATCCCAATTTGAGAGGAACTAACGGTACCTTGCTTAAACCCACATCAACCATTGTACTCTCAGAGTTTGGTGCCTTTTCTCTCAGCGTCACACCTAAAATGTTATCATTTCCAAAACAAAGGTGAAACAAAAACTGAAATGTCAATATCGCAGCATTTCTACAATAAAGAAAGGTCTTAGCTTGAATTATATTCCACAGTAGCTTCTTGTAAAATGATCGGTATTACAGATGGTATCTCCAGAGATATAATAAGCAATTGCTAAGGCAAATCTCATAGGATACCTATGAAACTTCTATATTACCTTCACGGTATTGTTCCCACTCGTGCTTACGAAGATGGTGAGGAGCATCAAGAGGTGGCAACATACCCTGTCAGAGACCACACAAATCTGGTCACAGGACACTAGAAAATAATTATTGAATACAAAAGTGAGAAAATTGAAGGAACCAAGGCTTTAAGAAAAGTCAGTACGCACCACATATCTAAGATCATTCTGCTTGGGGAAGAGAGATTTCCTCAAATATTGTGGTGTCTCTAGATACTTCAAGATACGAACGAGAAAAGAGGCACCACTTTCATTGTTATCAGAAGGATTCGTAACAGCAGAGTCGATTTCTGAGCTGCTCTTATTGTCGAACACTACAATCTGATTAAAGCCAAAAAGCTGTTGAATTCAGAACAAGTTGTTGCATACGCCAATCCAAATGAGTAGCTTCGATGCAACCAGCACGAGTTTCGCGAGCTCTGTGGATGGAAAGGATAGGGAACAACATACCTCGTCGATTCGGAAAATTGTGGATGCACGAGCAATCTGGCCGGCGAGCTGAGAGATGTTATAGAAACACAAGTTTTTAATTGCTAATAGAAATGGAAGAGAGAGCTTAAAATTCTCCGGGAAACCACGACGGAGAAACGAATGGAGAGAGAGAGAGAGTGTACGCGTGTGGCGAGCTCGAGTGATTGAGTGTTGTGGATGATGGAACCAGCTATGGCTATGCTAACAGTGGGTCTGCACTCGTTATTCGTTTCTTCTACATTTCGCTTCTCCTCCTCTTGAATTTTCGTTTGCTCCGGCTCCGGCTCCTCCTCTTGGCTCTTCTTCTTCTTTTTCTTCTTCTCCTTCTTCGCGTCTCCGTCGAGACTCACTTTTTGCTCCGGACCCATCTCCGGATCCTCATGGCTTCTCTTCTTCTTCTTCTTCTTTTTTTGAAAGTCTCCGTCGATTCTTGTCGTTAGCTCTGGCGTCGATTCAAGCTCAGGCTCGTCATGACTTCTCTTATTTTTCTTCTTTCCCATTTCTTCCGCCGGCGACTGCGGCCGCGGCGTACGCAGGGTTTATGTGGTTTTGGGTTCTTACTGGACCATGGGCCTTTATCACCATAATTTACTGGGCCTGTTTTACGACCTATTAATTGGTAACGTGGTTTTTCAAATAAAACAAATTAACTGTACGTTTTAAGGTGAACCAAATTCCTTAGGACAGTTAACCATTAAATTGGTCAACATTTATGATTCGAACATTGCTTGTCGGCACGACATAATTATATCAAATGGTTGACCATAATTTGAAATTGGTTACAAACTATCAATGGTTAGTTTTTCCAGTTTTCTCAAATTGATTCAGAATCTTAACAATATATACTTTTTTTTTTCCTTTTTTGTCAACGATTTTTTTATATATTATTATAATTTATTAATGCCCAAAGGTTATAATTTATTAATGCCCAAAGGTATATTAGATTAGACCATTGGTTGGTTTAATTAAAAACCATCTGCTACGAAACAATGAAACCATAAATAGTTGCTTGCCAGATGGCACTGTCCTATTGAACGACAACACAACACCCAAGGAGTCAAAAGGACTCTAAACTCCGCCGTCAACGGCGGCGCCGGACTCCCGTTTCCTCCCAGCGGCGATTTCCGATCGGCTATTGAGCCATTTCAAGATATCGCCGTAAACCAGATCGACGTTCTCCTCCGATTCCCCAACCATCTGATGCCACAGCTCCGGGTAGATCTTGATCGTCTTATCCTCGCTGCCTGCTCGCCGATAAAGCTCCTCGACGCACGCCGGGTCACAGACCACGTCGTCTCCGCCGTGAACAATCAGAAGCGGAATCTCCACTTCCTCAAACCTCTCCTGTAGCTCCTTACAGACACGGATCAGCTCGTAGGCAGTGGCGGCGCGTGGTCTCGCCACGGTCCTCCTAGGGCTAGCGAGCGCAAGCTTCCTTTTCCACGGCTCCTTGAAGGAAACATCAGGGATCGATCCGCGAGTGGGGATGACTCGCCAGGTAGGGATAAGATTAGCGACGACGAAGAGAAAATGCTCCAACGGCCACGGCGGCTTGAATTTAGCGCTGATTCCACACATGGCTCCGTTAAGGATAAGTCCGTCCCAGACGCCTCTCTGGCGAAGCGAGATGTAGAGCGCGATTGCGCCGCCGAGAGACTCAGAGTAGAGAAAACAGGGCAGATCCGGCGTCTCCTGACGGTTACGGAAGTCATCGAAGAAGGAGATACAGTCGTCGACGACGGGATTGATGTCGGGGATGTGAGCGATTAGCCCGTCGGAGAATCCATGGCCTTGGTGATCGATCGCGCAGGTGATGTAGCCGGATTTAGCGAAGAGGATAGAGGTGAGCTGGATGAGCCAGCTGGATTCGCCGGTGAAGCCGTGAACGACGGCGACGATGCCGATGGGACGAGCTGGAGGGAGTGGGGACCACCATTGGGTGAAGAGTTTTAGGCCACGTGGGTTGGTGATGAAGGCGGAGGAGTGGCTTACGGAATGCTTCGCGTAGAATTCTTCGGCGGAGAGAGAGCCAAAGGGATTGTGCTCGTCGGCGTCGGCGATTGGATGCAGAACCATTTTTTGCTTATTTTCCCTCAAAAATCTTTGGGATGAGGGGAAAAAAGAAAGGGTGTGTTTGTGTGGGGTTTTGGTTTACCGTTGAGGATTAAATGACGATTCATAAATGAGGCTCGGATCTGGTGGTGTAGGGACACATGCATTTAGCGTGGACGCGAACTACTCCTGATTTCCGGGCCCGCTTCTTTGATTCCATATCACAATTTGGGTCTAAGATACTCAACCGGTTAAACCAATATTGTGGGGTCAAATTTCCGTAGAACTTGATAAGAAGGAATCAAAAACTGAATTGACCAAGATTATTATTGATTTCATTCCATCTATATCAGTCAAAGTTAGTATATGTGTTTTAATCATGGCTCACCACTCACTGTCAATGTACCAAGTCACAAGAAGATCTGGCTTTTTCGGACTAGCTTCCGGTTATAAAAAGAAACAAAAAAATGAAAGATCTGTTTTTCAACTGTTAGTATTATTATTAGATAAGCAAGAGATGAAACCAAATATGGCTCGCCAGACCCATCCTAAAGCTCTGCACCTGAGGTTTTTTTTTGTTCTCTTATACCCTATGAATATGATACTACACAGATACAAATCAAAAGATTGTACACGAAAGAAAGACACTTCCCAAATATATTAAAACAAAAAAAAAATTGCAATTTTCTAACATTACAAGGGAGTATCAAAATCTAAGTAAATAATGGAGGTGTTGTCTTTTGTACGCATCGCTCTTGCTTCATTCAGTAGACCGTTTGCTATTTTCTCTGCACTATTTTCTGTCCCTCTCTCTTTCTCTCTCATCTGTCATATTCGTTTTTAAAACATAAACATAAGTTTGATGTTTTCAGACACAGCAATGCCTTTGATGATAATTTAATTTGAAATAGAAAATGTCTTACCTGAAGCACCAGCTGCACAGCTTTCTTTGCACTCACCACATCCCATAACCCATCACTGCGGAATTGTTTGGATTTTTTCCGGTTTTTAGAGTTAGCGACAAGATAGAGAAAACGGTAAAAGCTCATTATGATATAATGTGTTTTTTTTACCTAGCCAATAGAGCAAATACGTCTGTACTGGATTGATCGATACGCAAAGGCTTGCTTATATATGGCTCTGCACTGAAACGGCTATCTTGCTGCTTTGGGAATTTGTCTCCAAGCATCCTTGCAAGGTTGATACCTGACGAAAGTTATCAAATCAGATTTTGTCATTCTGTTACAATGGAGTAAGAATCATTTAAGTGTTCATTTCATTGAGGTAATACCAAAGATCCGAGTCTCTCCATCTCTCAATGATAGCCCTGCCTCTTGAACTCGTTTTCTCTCGGTCAAGCTAGTCACTCGATGATCTTCTGTCATTTGTATATATCTCCCATCAAGACTGTCAAAATGTAAACCACGCCGAAACCATTATTCTCTGAGAGCAAAACAACAATCTGATAGTGATAGGGTTGTGATTACTATTAATTAAGATTGGTGTCAAGAAAATTTTACGATAAACTCACTTTCTATTTCCGCAAATCAAAACAACAATACTCTATCATTCAAATAAGCTTTTCATATTTCACAAATTTCTATTACTGTCTTTATACTCTACCATAAACCCTAGATTAGAAAAAAAGAAGCATAGATCTCTCATCTATTAAAGTTTATTTACTCCTCCATAAACCCCAGATTAGAAATTTTCTACTGTTTTCATAACAAGAGGTTTTCATTAAGAAGACCACACTCACGCTTTAGACACGCAAGATCCTTGTTTCTAATGTGACTTATCAAGTCCCCTCCCTCTTTCTACACCAAGAAATGCTGCTACAAGTTGTTAATGCAAGCCCAGCAACTAAGAATCTTAAGATAGCAATATAAATGTTTAACGTACTTGATTACACATGCTGAATCCCCAAGATTGGCACATTGTGCGAATAAGTTTTCTTCACTGTCTTTCCAAACCAAGAGAACAGTAGCTGTACAACCCTGCATTGATCGACTAGTTCATAAAATGGGAAGCAATGAAAAAATTTCACCCAAGTCGTCGAGAAGACAAACATGCAATCAAGGGAAAAGGAAAAGGAAAAGGAAGCTTCAGAACCTCATATAGGTGATCATCCAAGCGAGCTTCAGTTCTCGCAAGCACATCCCTAAGGACGTCCGAAGCATCTCTTTCTGATAACACTTTCTCCTTCTTCAGAGAGTCTGATAAAATATTCGCCAGAACCTCAGGAATAATTCTGGAGAATAAGTTTGATTAGGTTAAATATTCAGGTATATCATTTTCGTTGCTTAAGACAAAACTTCAAACCAAAGATCCCCCAGTTGTTAATGAAGCCTCCTAACATATAGTGAGTAGATCATTTACAAAAATGAACAGAACAAGTTTGAACAACGATTTTTGTTCCTGGTTGCAACCACGCCTGCCATAACTTGAACACATTTGCATTGCTAATAATTTGCCGTTAAAGGTTTCAATTACATCAAAAGTTGATTAATAAATGAAGCAAAGCCAAAGGACAAACTCAGAAAGGCGGATACTGTTAGAAGTTTAAACACAACCAAACCACAGCCTTTTTCAGGTTAGCAATAAATAAGTTAAGTGGATATCTTTGGTAGGTTAAGAAGATGAAGAAACCCCGGAATAAGAAAAATCAAGAAGAATTTTCTAAAAGAGATAGTGAATAGAGGTCATCTAAATTAAAAACAATGACTCACTTGCTAGCGGATTGAGCAGCCCCTGCTCCCCCATGTCCATCACAAACACAAAATAGCCCAAACTGAAACCGTATAGATTTAGAATTATGTTAGCAGAAGCACTGAAGTCTATCATCACACAAACAGTTCAAGACTACAAATCAAGGCAACCTTATTCGCCCCAGGAAGCGGCCACTTGTAATAACAAACATCTTCCATTGGAAGTTTCCTGCCCCCTCGACGTGCAGCCATGGGATCTGAGGCCACACCAATTCTGAACGGTGTCTGAAACTCGTTCTGAGATGAGATACGGACCTTCCAAAGATGAAAAGAAATTGCATGAAAGATTAATTAAGAAAAAAAAAACTACCAGCAATTACCTCCAATCACTCAAACCGACTTACATAAACCTTTGTAGTTGTTCCTAGAGTTATTATATCTTCACTTGCAAGCTCGACAGGGTAACCCCACTTTCGCTTGCCTAAATCAGGATGACTTACTGATCGAGAGTTCAAGAGAGTTCCATTTAGGCTACCCAAGTCTACCAGCTCCCATTTTAATTTCTGAAATCAAAGCCAGCCAGGTGTTACAAGCAAGAACTGACATGCAGAAGTCGAATAAGTGCAACTATGTAGTTCCTTACAGTAGAGTTCCATGTTATTTGTGCATGCTTCCCTGAAACTTCTGCGTCCTTCAATATCAAATCAGCAGGAGAAACCCTTCCAAGTTTCACTGGCAGCTCGGAGGTACTTGTGGACTGCACAGCATATTGAAGCCCAATGGAAGGACCCGCAATGACCTCCAGGGACAGCCAACTTCCTGCACTTCTAACACAAAATATGATATATGTCTTGCACGGCTAATTGAAGAAATGTGTTGAAGTTGTATTACACACCCTAGCAAAGCAAAAGAAAAAGAATTTACGTTGATCTTTAACAAGTCCTGGAGAAAGCTCGGAAAGTCTATCCTTTTCTAGATCATGTTGCAAGTTTTGACTTATGTTATTCTGCAAGTCATATGTTTGCGCTTCTTCCAGGCTAACTTTTTCAGCTGGATGTTTAAGCGTTTGGCCCACCAAAGCATCGTCAGAAGGTTCAGAAATTATTTTTAGAACAAAGCTTTCACCTACATAAATTTAGGGCCCACTGGTTAGGTCAAGAATGAGTGATGCATAGAGTTCATACCACAACAAGGATGTTTCTGATAACACTTGTATCATTTCCATTAAGCTAATGATGTAGCCTCAACCCAATTGGTCTTCACTTGAGCTGCATACGAATTACGAAGGGAGGAAAGAGGGATGCAAAGACTTACCTTGGGTGAGATGGGGAGACGAAGAAGGAAGCCTTTGTTTGTAAACCCGTCCCTCAGTCAGAGATGAATGCAAAAGCCCTTCATTTTGGTAGCAAGCTCCCTCTAAATCATATTCCCTTGTGACCTCACTGGTCTGGCCTTGGATCAAATTTCCATCATCAGATACAAGGGGTCTCTGCAAATCCCCCACCTGCAAAGTATGGCACTAAAATTATCAGGGCTATAACTGAAAGCAAAAATTTGCTTAAAGTGGATATTCCATAGCCAGAAACTAGATGTTCCATATATGAAGAACGTAATAATCAATTACAGTTTTTTAATATGTTGTCTAGGTTATGCAGAAAATGCATACAAATGAAATTTACGCGCGAAAAGCACAAAGATGAGCTGTATCATATTCCCAATGAGAATAGAACGCCTGTTAAATTAGTAAGGCTCCGTCCGACTGGAGTAGAGTTTAGCAGGGTTGGAATATGGATGAAAAAGTGAATTCACCTTTTACCATATGTTTGTTACCATTTTCATGAAATTTCCATTCTCCGGTTGGAAAAAATAAAATACAAGAAACTCACAGAAGTCCTACATAAAAGGTAGCTAATAGTGTTCGATAAAATTCCACCTCACTGAACTGAAATATTCTTTGCAACATTCACATTTTCCAGTAATTCTTCTTGTTACTGTCGCATTTATGTTCCTCTAGTCTATCCTATGACTATCATTGCATAAATATAAGCACCAAGCTCTTAATTCAGAAACAATTCGACCAAAAAAATTAACATCGGTTGCCTATTTCCAGTTTGAGCACAAACCTGAGACCTGTCTCAATCGATTACTGAATCAAAAACATGGAAAGAGAAGAAGAAGAAAACATATAACACAAAAGTGTAGTGATTCAGCTTTAAAAAAAGAAAACAGATTGTGTGCAAATCGAGCAGGCACAAAATGCAGAGATACACTTATATCCTAACGCAGATGAATCTATCAAAAACCCGTGAGCTACAAAAGAACCTAGCAACGAGATCGAACTTTCTCCCAACACTAAAAACTCAATAACACATTCTCATTTCCAAAAGTCAATCAGATTATTCAACACACACACTCGACTGCCCCGCGTCGACACAATCATAAGAAATCGCCAATCGAGTAAAACCCCGTCAAATACTCACGGAATCCAAAGGCATGATTCAGCGACGTAACACATTTCATTGATCATCACGCGTTATACCGAAACTCACGATTGATCATTTGGCAAGGATCGTCCGATACCCGCACCGCAATCGAATCGAACGAGCCCGAGGAACGAAGACACGAGAGATTGATAGAGAGAGAGAGAGAGAGAGAGAAAGGAGGAGAGGAGGAAGGTACCTTGAAGGAAGAAAAACGGGAGGATCGGAAACGGGAAAGGTAGCGCCATGGCTTGCAGGCGAAAAGGATGATGAGGGAGATGAGAAGCAACATAAGCACCATGAATATCCCAATAATGTTCATCTCTAACATCGCCATCGTCTTCGCTCTCTCTCTCTCTCTCTCCTCCCCCTCAGCACACCCCCTCTCCTTCCTCCAGATTGGTTCCCGAGAACCTCGCTTTGAATTTTTCTTACCTCTCTCTTTCTTAATTCCTCCTCTCTTCTTTTTTTTTTCCTTTTTTCTTACTGATAGACGACTAAAGTCCATTACTACCCCTACCGTATATAAGACATGAATGAATTTTTTTTTTTTTTTCTTACAGCGGAATTATGGTTTTTCAAAAGGATTATCAAAACATGTTATGTTTTCTTAAGATCAAGCCTTTTTTAAGATCAGGTTGTCTGTGTTTTGATTGATAAAAATTCTTTAATTTTTTTTTAAGTTGTTTACAGCATTTTAATTTTTCACTTTGGTTTGTAGGTGATTTTACAGTCTTAACAACACGATTATCTATTAATAAAGCGAATTCAAAGCGTGTAAGAATATAGCAAAAAAAAAAGCATTTAACAGACCGTAACATTTAGCTTAGTGGTCTGTGTTAATGTTTTCACTATCCGATTTAAATTAGCATAATGCATATTGCTGGAAACAAAACATTTAACCTTAAAAAAAAAAATAGAATTGTAAGCATCAATGTACATAAGAGATTGTAATAACTGTAAATATCAGTCATGTTACTCAGCTCTACTATGCAACAGGCACAAACAGAAAACGAATTATTTTCCTACAATTTTATAGAACACATAGTAATCGATAATGATTATATGCATGTAAGCAAAAAATGTTATTCAGCTACCTTTATTCCTGAACCATAATCAACATCAGCTTGAAAGTTTGATTCGTTGTTGGTCTGATCATAACAGGCCTCCACAGAAGCTCTCATCGTTTGGCTCCTCCTCTGTTTATAATTTACCTCCATTGAAGCTTTCATCCTTTGGCTTATTAACAAGTACTGTAACTGCCCCATGTTTAAAGTTCTATATACGTATTTATACTATACCCATTGCATACACGAAAACTGGGCAATTTAATGCTACCTATTTTCAGTATTAGTATAGTTTTGGTAACGTTTTTATTTGTCTTGACTATGAATTATCCCATTTTTGTAAAATTTTCTTCATTCACTTCCTTACCAAATTTGATTTTTCAAAAACTCTCTCTCTCTCTCTTTTTTTTTTGGGATCTTGGTTATATGGTCTTACGGATGTTCAAGACAATAATGGGTATGCTATATTGAAAATTTAGGAGTTGTTAGAGTCTTCATCTTATTCAAAAAAAAAATTGTTTTTTATGACGTAAATCTATATTTGCATCTACCTAAAAAAATCTACCGGACCGACCTGTCGAATCTTGTAAAGAAAAAGTTCCAAGTGATGATATTAGTAACTTCTCATGTTGTATTTTGTACTTCTGTAATTATTTTCTGTTAAAGAAGTTACATTTTCAAAATTTACTGTTTACAACGAAGTTAATAATTTTTCTATTTCTTGTGTTAATTATTTTCTTAAGGAATTTGAGAAGGAGCCTAGGGTGGCCACGTGACACACGTGCAATTTCGTTACAGGAAACCTCATTTAGCATTCCTACTACTGAGTACTGATTCTATGGCGATTCCAAGAAGAGAAGGTCTCACACGACGCACACGTGACACGGCCAATTTTGATTCCCGAAGTATTATTCGATAATGTTCGCTATGCCACTGCTCTCCAATCCTTCGTCTTCAACCTATTTTCTTCGCCTTCTCTTTTTTTTTGTATGTTCGTTAATCGCGCGTACTCATGTTCCTATGTTCAGTGTTTTGTGGGATGAGTGACGGCTCGGAAAATCAAAAGTTGATTGCTACGATGATATCCCTTAGGCTCTAATCGCGCGTACTCATATTCCTATGTTCTGTTTCTGCGACAATCTATTCACTAGTATAGGCTCTATGTGAAAGTTTAAAAACTTTCCTCTAACTTGAGATTTGTTTCCAACTGTTAAAACGTTCAAAGACGTTGAAGGCACGGCCCAACCAACACGAGCTCTCTGGTGTGAGATATGAAATCATATTTGATGAATCGACATGTATTTTTCATTGACTAAGACCGAGCTGATGAAGAATCATGCCTCCAATAGTGCATCAACTAAATGTAAATTTACCTGAGTCATGTTAGTTTGTTCTATCAATCCGTACGTACTTGAGTCGTTATAATTAACTAGACCACGCTAAAGCTTTTTTACAATGTTGACATCTAAACCGTGGAAATGTTTAGCTTATTTGGATGATTATGTGAGTAAGACATTAGTTATGGATGAGATTGATATTTTCGTGTGGATGTCATGCTTCCGTAAAAGCAAACGAGAAAGTTCCAATGTATAAGCTTTTATATTCTTTCTCTACCTAAAGTTGTGAACTATGTTAACCACTTACATCTATTTGCGTTACTTAGATAAGCTCCCCATCGCATTCCATTGATATAAATTTTCTTTCTGGGTCAGAATTTAAAAGTTGGAGAATTGGCACATAAAGGTTCCACTAATAATATGGTCAAAAAGATGGTGGAAGGCTTCTTCTTTTTTTCTCTTTGTTATGCAATTTATATTAGAGCCACGAGTTACAATACTCTTGGTTTACTCTATATTCATATAACAAACATGGAAACGTAAGGCTTAAGTTTATGTCTCCACTTAAGCTCAAGTGGTATGACGTATTTCTCTATGCTTTTAGATCCTCCAGTAGTTGAAAACTTGAAACCAATAGCAAACACTGATGGACTTTGATTCGAAGTTTCACTCTGTTTTTCTTTCTTCTTTAACTTTCTTGCGTCATATAAACAAAGCGAGTGATTCGAAGTCAAAATATATATTCTGATTTAAATCTGATGGTTGGTTTTGCTTCTGTCATTACTCACTTAATTATTGTAATCTTAATTACATATAAAAAAAGCAGCTTTTGTTCAAGGACACACTCTAAAGCATTCTCCCTTCAAGAGGCCAAAGGTTGCTGTATTACTTTCTTCTCTTCTATGGGGGGTGGTTCGGATTTTAGGACCACCTATGCTGTTCAAGATTCAATTTGTGGATATTTGTCTGGAGATTACGTCTGCAGGTCAGCTCCTTTTTCCATTTTTATTAGTTAATTAATCATAATTTTCGTACCCTTGCTTACGTTAGAGAATCCTAATTATTATTTCATTCTTTAATTCATTCTAAGCATGTCAACTAGTTGCTTAATTATATCATTATTGATTCCTGCAGCAGAGGGAGAAGCACTAGAAAAAATGACATAACTTGTGGATAACACTATAATTAATAGCAAACATTGATTGTGAAATTACGGAGATTTCTGAGTTACATTGCAAAAACTGAAAACTTTCTTGGCTAGACCTATATACTGCCAAAACCCACAGAGTCTTAATAACACATGTTCTATACAAGACTTATATGTTTACCACATTTCTGTTCTCTATTGCATTTGTGGATCTTCTTGGTAATGCAAATGAAAACAAAACAAATCTTGATTTGCATCTTTTAGTGGACTACGTGATCAACCAGTAAGAATATATAGTAAGATGTTCCTTGTTATAGAAGCTGAGTACTGAGACTGGAAACAATCTCATAAGAGTAGGAATGGTTTTTCTTTTGTTTCACTGTATAATAATATAATCGAAGGTATCTTCGTACAAATCCTTTTAGTGATCATAGCATCTCTTGAAACCATAAACTAAGATCCACTTGTTTTGTTCATGTCTTCAATAAACCTCGAAAAGACGGAATGGGTGATTAAAGTTTATCATAGTACTATACAGCACACAAGCTAGCATTATATTCACAGTTCATGAATGGTAGTAGCTACACATTGTTTATTATAACACAAGTACAAAACTGATATAACTTTTTCTATTACAGGAAGCCCAGGAAGATCTCACAAATCTCTCCCACCCTCTTTGGAATAGGAACAGCTCACGCATTCTAGCTTTTCTTTGTGTAGGCTCTATGGTAAAGTCAGAGAGAACTAGGTTACATTTGTTTATATAATAATAAACCCACATGCCTTTGAGTTAGGGAAAAGTCAGTGACCCTAGGGCATTTGTTTACTATGAAAATAAAAAGTGTCTTTTGTTGTTTAGAAATGGGGTTAAGTACGTAAGCATCTCTGATTTAACAGAGAGACAGAAGAAAGGAAATTATTTAGTGGGGAATCACTTGTTGTTGCTGACGACTTAAATGAATCTTAAACTATGTCTTCATAAGCTGTTCCGTACAAGGTAACATGGCTTCAGAGGGAATATCTTGAAATTTAATCTCAAAACTTAATTTCGTCAGAAAAAAAAAAGCAGCTTACTGTTGGCTAGCCAAAGATTCAGAGGGCAAAGTTTGATGTTAACTTAACCCAACATTGTCTTAGAATTAGAAAGTGGAAAGTTCTGGATGTTGAAACCTAGGTGCCTTATTTGTCTTTTAACCTTATTATATTTCAAACAACTAAAACCTTGGTCACTTTGATATGTTGTGTTTCGTTCATTATTTCTGTTAACATAACAACATCATAATTAAGAAATATTTCTGTTTTGGTCGTAATAAGTGGGCGGAGAATCTTCCTCGCATTCAAATACAGTGTAATTGAGGTGATTGTATTTTTGTCACTTATTTGTTTGTTTTTCCCCTTGTATTTTGTTTGTTTCATGTCGTGGTTTCTTGAACATGGTAACCCCCTCAATTTATGACCATTCCTTTTCAAAAAATTGCATGGAGACACATTTTCATGTATATTCCTTGATTATTGCCAGTAATCATTTTTTGTTGGTTTGATTAATGGGATTTATATTTCAAAATTAGTTGGCTGCTGTTATCATGTTGTTGAAATCGGGTCTAAGAATTACCCGACATAGGTTTTGACTATCCGTCTCCCTGTGTGCCACACGACTCTTTGCTTTAAATATAAAAAAGAGTAGTATTAGAGAAAGAAAGAAAACAAACAATCATTTTCATAATTATAACACTAATGGGGAAACCAAATTTGGGAACTTTCATAGCTTTTGTTGAATTGTTTTATTTTTGGAAGGTAAATATATAAGAAAGCGCAAAACCTGTCTGTAACTTTTTGACATGTTACTCCCATTACGTGTCTCTCTCTAAATGGCCAGCTGGTTTTCAATATATGCGTTTGATTTTGTTATATTCTTCTGTGTTTTTCATTTAGATGTTAAATTAAATAAATTATAAATTATGAAAAGGGAACGCACGCAACAGAAGAAGAAAGTCAGTAATACTCAATTGTTTGACTACAAAAGAAGCAAACAATAATAAACACAATTACTAACGCAAATATTGTATGTTTGAACCAATCGGACTATGTCTAAACTCTAAACCATATTCACTAATTTTCTTTTTCAATAGTAGCTTTCTATTTTTCATTTGTTTTTTTTTCATTTTTCTGTGTAGTCTATTTCTTGCCCAGATCACATGAGGACCAAAATTTCCATGGCTACTGAAAAATCAGTTTCTTTTGCCAAATTAGTCAAAAACGATGATTAACCAAGTTTCCCTCATAGACTAGCTATGCTTTTCAAAATTGCTCCTTTTGTTATCAATTGAAAGTTCCCGTCTTACCAGTACAAATATCACATACACAGTTAATTTTTAACCATGTGTAGTTGTGCATTATTACATCACCTTTTAAGTTTTAACACATATACACATTACACACACATAAGATTCTTTATATACCTGCATTGTGTGGCATAATTAAATAAAATAATTTTGCATTATTCGAGTGGTGCTGTGGAAAAGCTCCTTACCCACCTCTCTAGTCTCTGCACATTGCCCAGTCACTCTTCTCTTTCTCTTACTTTTCTTTATTAATTTATTCACTTTTGTGACACTACAAATTGGCATCCCCTCCCTCTCATTATCCTTCATGCTTATTTCCAAAAGCCTCTCTTCTTCTTTGCTTCACATCTCACCCTAATCTCTTACTCTTTGCTCTCTCTCTCTTAACAGATTTCCTCTTTCCTCTTTAAGAAAATGGGAACTGTTGTGTATCAACAAGGGTTTCAGTCATCTCAGCTTGATGAGCCTAGGGCTTTAAGGCTTAGGCTATCTTCACCAAACCCTCACTTCTCTCAACCCTTTGGTTTAGCTCTCAAGTCTCATTTACTTGACTCCTCTAACGCAGAGGACACCCAAAACCGTAACGATGACAAAACAGTTGCTTCCTCAGGCCCTGACTCGAGTTGCTGGAGCTTTCTCCAGTCTTTATCCTCTGCCTCCTCCAACTCCTCCTCCTCTTCTCTCTCAAACACGAAGAGCTCTGAAAAAGAGAAGACTTATGTCCAACGTCCGTCTTCTTGTGGAGCTCTAAGTAACGAGAGCTTAGCATTGTGCACTGAGAATCTCGGAAGCGAAACTGGCTCTGATGTGACTGATGTCGAAGATCTGTTCTCGCTTTCTGTGTCTGACGTGCAAACCAAGAAACTCAGAGAGATAACAACGGAGACAAAAACGTTAAAAAGTAGGAAAGAAAATGTGAGCCCTAGTGATCTCCCACCTCCGTTGACCAGTATGAGAGGCTCTCAATGCATTCAAATGAGACCACACCGTGAAGATGGGAGATTGGTCATGACTGCCACAAAGGCACCGCCTCGTAACAGGTGCTTTCAAGCTGACCGAAGCAACGGTCGTCTCCGACTCTCTATCATGAAAGACTCTGATGAGTTTGTAGAGAACAAAGAAGAGACGATTGAGCCTGAAGAAACCGAAGAATACGAGGAGGAAGAGGATGATGATGAAGTGATGGGCATGGAGAATGTTCAAAGATCAAGAAGATGTGTCAAAGGCGATCGGAAAAACAGGGGATTGCTAAATTGGGAATCTTTCTGCGTTGCTACTTCCTAAAAATATGAGAATTTCTTAATTTGCTCTGTTTTACAATTTCACAATTTTTCAATGTATTTTGTTTTAATTTTTTTAAAGAATATTGACGTTTCCTACCTCGGGAAAAGCAGATTAAAATTGAATTATAAGGAATTATTAATACATTTTTCACAAAAAATCTAAAAAAAAGAATTATAAAATTAGAAGAAATGGGCAGAGGGAATATGCTCGTGGTCTGGTCGGCAGTTAATCTAGTTTGGTAAGAAAGATTCTCTGAGTGGTCCGAAGATAGTAGCATTTTCAACTTCGTTAGAGCGATTGTACCCAGGAAAAAAAGTATATATGCCTCAATTTTCTGTTGTTTTGTTAAAACGTTAAATTTAGTATTTACTACATAATATAAACAGTGTTTGTGTACAAAAAATAAAAAGTATTAATTTATCATCAATTCAGTTTCCAATAAATTAATCAAATTAGTAGGTTCGATTTAAACGTCAAAAAGTATTAATTTATCATTAATCTGAGTTATAAGCATCGATTTGAACGTCAAAATCTAGGTAAGTTACTTACTATTTTTTAATAAGATAATGAAATTGAATTTTTGACATCGGATAAAAATTGTATTATTAGAAAATAATATGTTTGAACTCAGGTTCAACCGTTCAAATATACCAATTTAGTTTAAAATTCCTAAAATCAAAATTAATTGTTTGGTCATCCACTTGTAAAGATTTGAAAATCCGAAGAGCAGAAACAAAAGATAAACTAATTAGTTATAAATGAAGAAATCCGAAATCATATATTTTTGTTTGCATTAAATAAATATAAAATAAGGTGTAGCAGGCATATAATTTAAGAGATATTTTTGACGTCAATATGCTCTCAGTTTTCAAAGATAATAATTGTATTAATTATTATTTATTAGTATTAACACTTTTAAATAATGAAGAAAGAGAATTCTTTAGCAAAGAAATAAAGAAATTAGGTTGATCCGTACAATAACGACGTCATCACAACCCCGCATCTCTCCGCCGAATCAGAAGGCTTGGGTGTACGGACGACGGATGTATACAGTGTTTGGTTTAACATTTTTAGTTAAAGTCGTTTGGTTTAACATTTTAAATGAATTAATTAGACTGTTGCCCAAAAAAAAAAATGAATTAATTAGACAATCTTTTTTTAAAAACAAAATTACATACTCTCTTTTTATTTGTCCGATCGTTAATCATTGATAAATAGCCAGTTGCATGCATTTAAAGTCTCGCAACTCAATAAAAGATTTATTATCACATAAGTTTCTTTTTCTAACAAAAACTGTTATGAAGATCAAAGATTTATTATCACATAAGTTTCTTTTTCTAACAAAAACTGTTATGAAGATCAAACTTACAAATAAATATATCATATAAAAAATTTAAGAGCTAGTTGTTAGAAATTATAATTTCAAAATTTCTGTTTTTGGCAACATATTAAATTTTTTCGTTTAAAAATATTTTGTTCTATTTTTTTATTAACTATGAGGAATTTGCAGTTTAGTAATTCGAAGACATATTTAGATAGATATTTTGTTCTTATTTTTTTAGAATGTAACTTTCCTAAATATGTCTCCGACTCCGAATTACTAAACTGCAAATTATTGTGCAAGTGCTCACTCGTTTTCTCTTTGAATAGAATAAAATAGTAACAAAAATGTAGTGAGCGACACGTGAAAGTCATTAGACTGCGCTTTGAAACTCTTTATTTTAATTTTATTTATATAAAGGTTTTATTTTTTGGTTATTGTTATTATTAATTATTACTATGAGTGGCGATTGATATATAAAAATTCCTTTTCACGTTCCTTTTCTAGCAAAAGTAGCCTGCATGGGATCCGCGTCTATCCATTTGGGTATTATTGCATGTCAAATTAAATAGGCGTAGTATTTAGGAAAAGGATTTATATGTCAATAGTTTTGTTTTTGCTAGTCTACAGATATCGAATTATAAAACTATAAATACGAACAAGCGAACCGAAGTACTTAAATATGAAGAATTGAAACATACAAGTGCGCAAACATTTACGAGATTTTATTTTTATGGGGAAAAATCAAAGAAAAGTTATAGATCTCCAAAGTTATTTTATCTTATTATTATTATTATTATTATTATTATTATTATTATTATTATTATTATTATTGTTATTGTTATTATTATTACTATTCACAATTTCCAGTAAACTACTAAATTTTTTATCACAAATTAGTGATTACATGACTAAATAAACCTCGTGGAATCTCAAAACTAACAACCATTCTAAATTAATTTGGATCCATAGATTTTTTTTTTTTAACAATATGGATCCGATGAGTTGAATCTAGATATGTGTCGATGCTTTACATTCCCGAATAAACTGAGACTGTTTGAAACATCATTTGTTTGATTCGATATGAACAATTCATAATTCACTAACCCCACTAACTTGATAACCTATATATGATTAGTGACGCAATCTCTTTTCGGTGTGATTGATCAATTAGGTTAAACTTTATATCCAAACTGAAAATGTAGAGAGGATATTTGGGTTCACATGTGGAAAATTGGGCAGGTTTCTTTGTGGCTAAGTAGACCAAAAGGATTGATGAGTGATTTTAAGTACGTGGACGTCTAATGTACTATATATTACGACCATGACGTCCTCTTTCTATTATATCCTCACAACGGCCATACCTCATATGAACTTACCCGTTATCTTCCTAGACATATTTTTATCATTTTTTTTTTGGTTATAAAACTGAAAAGGAAGCATTTATTTTAATAAAAACTTTTTTGTTCTTTGAATGTGGGCTACTTTTAGATTCTTTATGTTGTCGCTCTCATTGACCGAATAGCTAACCAATTAATTCATGAACTTTATTGCAACATGATCAAGATTATATGTGGTGAGTAATAATTAAGATTATTTATATGGCCAAATAACCTACATATAACGACGTAATCAACCATGCGAATGAAGTCGCTTCTTGCTAACTAGCAATAAGATTTTTTTTTTGTCTAGCGAAAGAAAATTTGCGAAAATGGATATGTTAATTTGGCGGGTGTACTGGATGGATCCGTGAATTGTGAGTAGTGGCAATATGGCGACAAAACAAAATCCTAGCTGGTACTCTATAGGTTGATTTGCTCCTGCCCTAAATTATTATACTGTATATACATACAAGGGCGACCCACATATATACTATTGGATTTAGGATCAAGAAATTTGGCACCAATTACATTCTAGTTTATTAACTGCGCACCCATAATAAGTTTATGTTTGCTCCCACTTTCCTATTCTTATTTCTTCTTGGCTTGTTGCAAGACAAAATTTCTGTTATTTTATTTCGAAACATTTAAATTAAAAATCTAATATTATCTGTCATTAAATATCAAAATCTAATTTTAACACTTTATTCTTTCATCTCTAACAGGTATTTTGAATTAGAGGATAAAAACTAATTAACATGTATATAATAGGAAAGAAATAAATTAATTGAGGACATATATACTCCAAGGACCAAGATTGTCGGCCTGAACAAAGATACAAGAAATACGAAGCAAGCTTCTAAATTTCGAAAAAGACAAACTAAACTTCTAAAATAACTAATAATAGAAAAAGAATCCTAAACTGAAAAATTTCAAGAGATGATTTAATCTTTTTATAACCAATTTTTATTTTTTTTAAAACCCCTATACGGGTATGTGTCAATGATATTACGCACCTTCCATTTTTCAACAATTTAATAGTTTACTTCTGTTTCCTTTGGTGACACGATCAAACCCTAGTATAGCTACTATACTTGCCCTACCAAAATGCGTGCATCAGTGACGATCAACTTCGTTTGAATACACACACTGACACATATATTATTTGTTCGATAATAATTAGAGAGAGGAATAGAAAAAATAGTTGAAGAGATCCAAAATGGTCAAAAAATTATAATTCTTGGACACGAATATAAGAAAGTCATTCATCACATTCACAGCGCACAGCCTTTTCTTCTTACATAATTTTAAGAAAGTTCTTCTTTTCTTTGAGTCTCAATGATATAGTATCTTTTGTTTTTGAGTCTCAAAAATATATTGGGTTTTTCTCAATATATATATATATATATATTTTTTTTTCCTCAATATATTTTTCTCAATATATATATGAATAAACCAACCAGATAAAAAGTTGATTTTTTGTTTCATAGTGGATTAAAGATTGAGTTACGATCCTATAAATGATCATGCTTTGTATTAATAGTAAATTAAAACTGAATTTATTATGCTGAAGACATTTACTTCTGTTGGTTATCACTAAAAAAAGACAGTTTCCTCACTATTTCGAGTTGCTTTCTGAGTTCTTCTCATTTTTCACAAACTTCGAGTGTTGTTCTGGAGAACAAAAGAATTAGATGTTAACAAAACCAAATAAGTGTTTTTCTGTGGTTAATACGGTATATTTGGAAGGCTCGCAATGAAAAAATCTTTGATGGTGTAGTTAGAGTCTCCTACGAAAACTCTCGAGATATAGCAATTCATGAAACCGAATTTTAGAAGAGCGCAACACGCCTTGAAGATATCTCCAGAACTGTGTTGTTAAGTAGATGGGTCCTGTCATAGGAGAGAAAAACTATTAAATGGCTTGGATTCTCCTTGATGCCCATGACATGTGTCTTCTGGGTTCTCACATGTGTTTATCTCCTATATATTCGCACTAAGTCTTTACTCTCTACCATTGACACCATCTCAAATCAATCTAATTTAGAAAAACACCGATAAAATAAATATTATTGCAAGAATCATGCAAATGTATAATTTGTATCCAACAGATAGTAAAATCTTCTCCATTTAAGAGTACTGAGATCATGCAAGAATAACATGTTCACTCCCTTCATCTGCAACTAGTAAAAATAAAATTTAGAAAGTTAAGTATACAAGATTACTTCCTTTTTATTTTAACTAAGCGAGACTAAAGATATATGCTTTGGTTGGTATATGTATTCTATATATTTGCATTATTTTAACTCTGAAAAATATTTTTAACTCACGAACTAATCGTAAGCTAACTCATGACTCATTAGAATTAGCTCATATAACTAACATGGATTTCCGTTAAGTTGATTTCTTTCCGGTTGGCTTACGAATTTGATATAGAAAGTCGTTTTTTTTGTGTTTAATATATAAACGAAATTTTTTTACAAAAAAAATATATAAACGAAATAGCCTTGTTTGTTCTGCACTTTTGATTAAAAAAATGATTTTTTTAATAAGAACATAAGTGGCATTGTAGTGAAATCGTAAGATGAAATATAATGTCACTTTGCTTTAGTTTCTTGTACCAAATGACTCAATGAGAATCATGAAAAAAATTACTTAATAAGGTTTTTCTTTTCAATTTGTTTATCTATTTTTTTGAATGATAATTTGTTTATTCTTCAGGATAGAAAACAGTTACAAAAACTAAAACTAAAAAAGGAGAGAAAGAAAAAAGTGAGGGTGAGAAAGTAGATACGATTCTCTCTCAATAATCTTCTATGATATTTCAGTCATAACATGAGAGATCATGAATTTCATTGTTTGTTAGTGAAAAGAAAGTGACGTTTCAAAGACGTATCCTAAACGCAAAATTCACTTGTCTTCTTCTTTTTTTCTTTAAACAGTATGTGTCTGAATATAGTCAAGTCCCTCAATCAAAACGCTCCCTCACACTTAGAACACACAAAAAAAGGAGGCACAAAATCTAAAGATAGATTATAAAAATCGAGACAAAATCATATTTCAAAAGTGAGAAGATATTCTTGTTCCTTTGTATTTTACAGCTCTGTTTTTCCTTTGACATCCATCCACCACTACCAACCAACCAAACTGCACTATGATAAGTATTACATGTTTTTACTTTTTACTCTTGTGCTTTTTATTTATACTTTAGATGTTTATTTTCCTCTCTTTTTTTTTGTTCAAAGAAGATTTTAAATGTGTAATGACTGGGGCCGGTAAATAGTAAAGACAATAAGGGATTAATACACAATTATTAATATTCAAAATATTGTAGTAATTTATAAATGCAAAAAATATTAACTACTATTTTTTTTTTATTATCAGGAGGTTCTAAACCGAAGTCTATAATTTCTCCAAGCCCAAAATTACAATATGTAATATTAGTTTGGTCCCAAAAGTTATTCGAACCAATAATTTTTAGATTTTATTTGAGATACGTTTATCATATATATATATATATATATAAACTATTTTAAGTTAATATGTTAGTTGTTGTCTATTCAAAAAAAACTTACAGCTTATGAAAATACAAAATAATTATTTTTTTCAAAAAAGCAAAAGCATGATTCTGATTTTCTTTTTCTTTTTAAGCTTGATATATAAAATGAACTCAGAAATTCGAATTCAGAAACAAAAGATATCTGAACGAATTATATCAATTTTAAATATAACCACCATGAAACAATTTACATCATGGAGGCTTAGTAGTCGTTAATTAAATTTCAATCCAAGATGGTTCGTCAAGGCGCTTTGGAAAATCAACGAATCATTGAAATCTGAGAGGGTTCATGGTTTTGGGCCTGATTGGTTGTGATTTTTCTGGCTAGAAAATACACAATCAAGGATCTGTTTTCTTCTTCCTTTTCTTTTGTGTGAAAACCATAGTCAACATATCATTTGACTTAACAAAATTAGACTGAGTGATTTTAAGAAAATGAAAATCCATTTAAAACTAAAGAATTCTCGAAACACTGTATATGATTTTGAAAATGTAAAAAGCTACTATATTGTATATATAGGCTATAGCACATTAGCACATGTACAACAATCAATCACTTCATGAGAAGCGTGTTGGATTTCAAATTTGAAAGCTTTAACCCATTTGTCTTCACTAATGGGCCTAATTTGTAATAGGCTCACAACCCCATTTATAACCAGCTAAATCAATCTTTGGCTCCAGCGGCGGCGTAGACAAGAAATCAATCTTTCAATACACAGAGAACTATATTTTTTCTAGTGCTCCCCTATTAAAATAGACTAAAAGTTACTTAAACCAGCTACATTACGTATAGCAAATCTTTATAACCAAAAATGTTTACTTGTCATAAACTATGTAAAGCTTATACGCGAGGAGATATTCAAGCAGGTAATTCTTGTTTATTGTAGAATCTTTAGATGATACGTACATTTGCCAACAAAGAGAAGTTAAAAGAAGAAGAATCTTGGCAGTGAAAACAAGCTGATCACTACCACATAATCCCGAGGAAACAAAAAACGATAGAGAACACATAGACAACGAGATAATTTTAACATGAAATAAACAAGCCAAAAGATATGGGACTCAAAACATGAAGAAAGAAAAGAGAAGAACCAACAAAGATGAAGAAGAAACGACGCCATTAACTCCAAATGTGAAACCACCCGACTTAGAATAGCCACCTTCCGTTGTGTTTGTAGTGAGGATAATCACAACCCAATTGACATCAGAACCAATACCAATTCCAGTGAACTTAGAATCATTTAGGTTCTTGATTAGTGAATTCGTATAATTGGTCAAGACATGGCTCGCATCATGATTATGAGCACAAGCTGGCATTATCACACCATCTCTAGTTGCGTTTATGTTGAGACGGCATTTGGTGAGGAGTTTCGGAAATCCAGGTTCGGATCCAGGGTCTAAAGCTGAGCCAGTGTTGCTTGTGCAAGGTCGGTTCTTGAACTCGTCTGCGATTTCGTCAGCGAGACATTCTGCGTTGTCGTTTTGTGTTAGTGTTGTTAGGTTGATGGAGGTTCTGTAGATGTTGATGGTTTTGAGAAGAAATTCTTCCTCTTCTGTGGATTTCAAAAGACAAAGACACACACAAATTATAAATCTTAATCGCAAGTAATTTAGTAACAAAGGTAAATCCGACTTTATAGAGACGGCTTTTCATGTTCAAGATCTATCGAATGAAACAGATTCGACGATTTTCAGACCAGACCTATGTCAAAACCACGATCAAGATACCTTAAGTTGAGGAGATTCGAGTTTAATTACCGTTGTCTGAAAGAACAGGACGATGGAGGGAGAGAATGACTACTGAGAGAAGAAAGAGCTTGGAAATCGCCATGCGTCGCAGAGGTTACTTAGCTTAAGCTTATCTGATTTTGGCGATGACTCTTCTCTCTTTCTCTCTATTATTTGCGAGAATTTTTGTCACTTTCGCATTGACTCTTCAAAGTCGTTGATTCTGTTTTTTTCTGTCCTTCTCCACTCAATTATATGCCAAGCAGACGCCTTAACTAACTCAGCAAACGCTGTCGTTTAAAAGGAATTCTTTTCCTTTTCACTCCAATTTTTAGAGGAAATTCTCTAAATGCACTGCATAAGATAAGAAACAAAATTTGCCAAAGTATTTAAAAATAATACTAATCAAGGAGATTTTATTTTCTTGACGTAGTCTCTTGTAGAGAATATGCCATTGCAAGACAGGTCAAGACAAAAGAGCCATGTCTTGAAATCTGAATACAAAAAAAAAAACTGGTGGTGGATGTAACTTGTTGAAGATAGGGTGGAGCAAATCCTTCCAAAAAATCAAGTAAATTGCGAGTCCATGCAACTCTCTTTCCTTCTCTTTTATCTTCCCCTCTCTTCAAACCCTTCAAGAGCCAATATTTCCAGCGAAAATGGTGGTTTCTGCTGACTGCAGAATCTCTCTCTCTGCCCCGACCTGCCTACGCGGCTCCACGGGATTCACCAGGCATATTAAGCTTGGCAGCTTCTGCAATGGAGAGCTCATGGGGAAGAAGCTCCATGCTCAGCTTCCAAATGTTCGATCTTCTTCTACCAACTTCTCTCAGAAAAGAATCTCAATGTCTTTAAGTAGTGTAGCTGCAGAGGCCAAGGTAAAAAGTTTCAACCTTTTTGTTTCTGCTTCTTCTTCTCCTTCAATCTTTGAGCTCATCAAAAGTGCCCTGCACTGTGTTTGTTTATGACAACAACCTCCAGGCACAAGAAATTGAGACTGACAAAAGGGATTCAAGGACAGTCGCTTCCATTATTCTTGGAGGTGGAGCAGGAACTCGACTCTTTCCTCTCACAAAACGTCGCGCCAAGCCTGCTGTTAGTTGCTTCTCTATTGCAAAGTTTCCAATGTTGCTGAATTTCCTGCAGCAAAAAATATAATCAATCGGGAACATGCGTGAATTGCAGGTCCCTATCGGGGGAGCATATAGGTTGATAGATGTACCGATGAGCAATTGCATCAACAGCGGAATCAACAAAGTCTACATACTCACACAGTATAATTCAGCATCATTAAACAGACATTTAGCTCGCGCTTACAACTCCAATGGAGTTGGCTTTGGAGATGGTTATGTTGAGGTTTGATATTCTTTCTTCATCACCCATTCTGATCCAAACTTGTTTGATTCATCTGAGGCGATTGTTTGAAAATATTCAGGTTCTTGCAGCCACTCAAACGCCAGGAGAATCTGGTAATAGGTGGTTCCAAGGTACAGCAGATGCGGTTCGGCAATTCCATTGGCTTTTCGAGGTAAAAGTCAGACTTTCACTAGCTCATCTTCACATGAGAAACAAGGGTCCAACATTTGTCTTTTTTTAATAGGATGCAAGAAGTAAAGAGATCGAAGATGTGTTGATCCTTTCTGGAGATCACCTCTACAGGATGGATTACATGGATTTTGTACAGGTGAGACAAGATTACCTAAGCCCATGTCCTTCATCAAGAGTTGGTTACTCTCAGAGACTCATACATTTAACTTCAATCTGCAGGATCATCGGCAGAGTGGTGCAGATATAAGCATTTCCTGCATACCTATAGATGACAGGTGAATGCAAAAGAGTATAAAGGTCCTTTCATTTTTCCCAACTTATTATACTGAATCAAAGATCATGGTTTCTTATAGTCTCTTTCTGTGTTACATGTTAGACGTGCCTCAGATTTTGGTTTGATGAAGATAGATGACAAAGGAAGAGTCATCTCTTTCAGTGAAAAACCTAAAGGAGATGACTTGAAAGCAATGGTACGTTGACAATTTCGGGATTCATTTTTGAACAATAAAAACATTTTGGAACAAAACCTGAAGATTGTTCTAACCTCGGGTATCCTTAGGCAGTCGACACAACTGTTTTAGGACTTTCCAAGGAGGAAGCTGAAAAGAAACCATACATAGCGTCAATGGGAGTTTATGTTTTCAAGAAAGAGATATTGTTGAATCTCTTGAGGTAACACTTTTACTTCTATATTCTGTCTCTGCATTCTAAGAACAGTGCAAAATGAATATCTTGCAAGTGTTTTGAAATCAGATGGCGTTTCCCCACAGCAAACGACTTTGGTTCAGAGATTATACCCTTCTCAGCTAAAGAATTCTACATGAATGTAAGTAACATTCAGTTTAAGCACACATTTACATCCAATGAGTAACGTTATCATATCAACTGGTAATAAGATCCTTTGAGCAGGCTTATCTCTTTAATGACTACTGGGAAGATATAGGAACGATAAGATCTTTCTTTGAGGCAAATCTCGCCCTCACCGAGCATGTAAGGACAAAACTTCTCTAAGACAACTTGATTTTCCAAGATAATGTTCATATACTCATCTTAATATCACTGACGTCTACTTTTTATACCTTTTAGCCACCGGCATTTAGTTTCTACGATGCAGCAAAACCAATATATACATCAAGGAGAAACCTGCCACCATCAAAAATAGACGGCTCTAAGGTAAGTAAAATATTTCCTTCTACTTCTACGTATTTCGGTTTTGGCCAACTTTCTTCAGAATTAACACTTAAGTTCATTACATGTGAAGCTCGTTGATTCGATAATTTCTCATGGAAGCTTCTTAACCAACTGCTTAATTGAGCACAGCATTGTGGGAATTAGATCTAGAATAGGCAGCAACGTTCAGATGAAGGTAAGCAAAACGAATATCTTTCTAACTCATAATGAAAGGATTATACTCTAAGATTATATAATGATCTAAAAGCATGGAAACTCTAGGACACTGTGATGCTTGGGGCAGACTTCTACGAAACTGAAGCAGAAGTTGCATCACTACTTGCTGAGGGAAAAGTTCCCGTTGGAATAGGGGAAAACACAAAAATTAAGTAAGACTAACTATCAACTTGACATGGTTTACCTTAAAAGCAGTGCTCGTTTATGGAGTTTCCTCATTCATTTCCTCCTTTTCTTTTTGCCTTCTCCTTTTCCCTACAGAGAATGCATAATAGACAAGAATGCTAGAGTCGGGAAGAATGTAATCATCGCAAACTCGGAGGTAAAATTTTCTTTTATTCAAGAAAAAATGGACCCATCATACATACAATTCTTCGTTTGCTTATCTCATTTCCACTAATGTAATGGTTTCCAGGGAATACAAGAAGCAGATAGGTCATCCGATGGATTTTACATCAGATCTGGCATTACAGTAATCTTGAAGAATTCAGTAATTGGAGATGGAGTTGTGATATGATACTTTTAATCTTAAATTGTAAGAAGTATGAACGCAGAGCAGAAAAGTCAAAACTATATTAATAAAGAGATATATCTGATTATGACGACATTTCTCATATAATCTTTCCATGTTATTGATAAGTTGCATTAAGCTGATGGCGTTTTGACTCACCTGTATTGGCGGTTATGAAAAAAAATGGAGAAAAGGCAAAGATGCAGAGTTTTATGTACATCGAAAATTAATACTGTACCTACAAAATCAGTTCCTCGCAGCTGAACATTAGTTCATTTTCGAACTTTTGCAAGACAAATCTTTCCTCCGAAGTAATCAGATTGGTGACAATGCACTTCCTGTCCGAAAAGGGTTTTCGACCAGCTCTTCCAGCTCGGTGCAGGTAATCTGTAGCCGTTTGTGGGAGATCAAAGTTGAAGATATGAGTTGTTTCCGGTAGATCAATCCCTCTTGCTGCAATATCAGTAGAAACAAGAAGAAACCCTCCTCCTTGCCGGATTTCCTATGGGAAATCATGAAGATTGGGAACAAAGAGTAAGCATCCAGGATAAGAATCCGAGGATAACAGAACCACTTACTGTTAGTGAAGCTGCTCGTGAATTGAAATTCATGTCTTCCTCTAGTAGGAGGATCTCCAGCAAGCCATCATATGAAGCTTTGAGGAATTCAATAAGTAGAGTTGTAGATGGATCATTTCCAGCCTTTTTTGACTTCTCGGACTGAAACGAGGAAACAGAAAAGAGAGTTACATGGTTAGATTAAGTGAAGTCAGAAGGGAAATAGAGGTTTCCAAAACCTGCTCCCCGGCAAAAATGATAGCTGATTCAGGTGCATCAGACTTCAACAAGGCAAGCAGTATTTGGTGCTTGTTTTTCTTCCCACACACCTGCCAAATACAGATCAGATGTACTAACAGACGCATATCATGATAAAAGAAGTGGAACAAGGTTAGATCTTACTACAAATCTGTGAAGAAGGCACAAAGGCATGGGCATGATTGCGCTAACATGAATATGAACAACATCCCTCTGCAGATATATGAAAATAAAAATGAAAAAAGACAAGTGAATTGCAACTCAACAATTCAGGCGGGAAGTATCTACAGCACCCCAAATCACTGGGTTCATAAACCAAGCCAGGACATAATTCACAGTAAGAGAACCATTCATAAGCTAACCTTTGTCCACTTTTGCTGTATACAGTCATGCACAAAATGTTTATGCTGGGGAATGGAAGCACTGGCAAAAACTGTCTGACGTTTATCGCATGAAGAAAATGTTGTCAGAAGCTTTCGCACAGAACCGACTTGTTTTGATGAGTAGAATAAGAAATCAACCTATATTCCTGGGTGAGAAAATGTTCTGAGCATGATGTTCAATGTGCAAACAGCCTCTATCATTCATAGTTGAGAAAGTTTTTACCTCATCTACAACAAGAACTCTCACCGAGTCAAGTCTCAATATGTGCTTTTCTAGCATGTGGCACAAACTCGCTACCGTAGCGACTACAATTGCTGGTGGCTCAGCCTGAAAAAGGATAAACTTGCTGAAGTAAATCACAAGAAGAAGTGACTAAAATCTCTAGCTAATTGTAGAAAACAAGAATGTCCAAGTCCTACCTTTAGCCAGCTTTTGTGCCTTCTTAGCATCCCTCCATCTAAGAGAGCCATGACTGTACATCCTTTGACCTCAATATCCGTAGATTTCGCAGCCAACATTCGAGCAACTTTTGTAACCTAAACCCAAAGAGGCAAACAAGTTCGAGTATGTCATAAGAAGATCGAGCCAGAGGAAGATTGAACATCAATGCCTAAACTTACTTGCATGCCGAGCTCCCGAGTGGGAACAACAATTACAGCTTGCACAGAAGATCGTTGAGGGTTTATAAGAGAGAATATAAGTAACAGGTAAGTCAATGTCTTGCCTGAACCTGTCTACATTACCACCAAAAAACAAAAAAAAACATCATATCAACATTAACCGTTCTGACAAAAAGCATAACAGGTAATAACAGAGAAAAGATTGATGGGATGAGAAAAGGACTTGGGCGTGGAGGATGCAATCACGGCCCGTAAACAGAGTAGGCAGAGCTTCTCTTTGAATATTCGTTGGAAAGACAAACCCAATCTCCTCCATTCTGCACCGTTTTTTCAAAAAAAAAAAAAACAAAATTTCGAATTCCATACTCGTCAAATTCAATTCTACCGGAAAAGAATGAAAAAGATAGAAGCTTGCCTGTGTATTATATGCTCCGGCACAAAACCTTCGCAGATGTTTCGTAGTGTCAAATCAGTCGTTTCAGTGACACCGTTGCTTTCGATTTCAGAACAAGCGTCGGCGACGGCTTGGAGGTTAATAGTAATCCGAGAATTGGAGGAAGATTTGATAGCTCTCGTAGTAGAGTGAAAGAGAGTAAGTTTTTGTCTTGCGAAGAGGGATGGATAAAAGGGTGAGAATTTAGGAAGGAGCGCGACATGAGGAAGAAAGAGAAGCTGGGACGCCATTGATGAGCACCTCCGCAAATGGAGAAGAAGGAGAAGAAGGATAGCGAAATGGACTTGGGACGAAATAACTCTTCCGTCGCCGTATAGTAATGGTTAATAAATTTTACTGGGGACAAATTTACATTTCATTTGTCAAGTCATTTTGCTAATTTTATGATGCTCATAGTGGTTTAATCATGTATTTTCTGCAACACAATAGACAAGACAAGTGAAGCTTCAAAATATGAACCTGTTCATTGTATTTCGGCAAATCCTATACTGTACAAAGGCGTGATCATATACATTTCATAAATCTTTGTCTTTTGAACCTCTACAAATCATAAACCTGTTACAAAGAAAGAATGGTTTATACCAAAGATAAGATGGTTTGACGACCTAAGCTATCTTACTCTTTGCTTCTTGTCTTTTTTGCTCCACTTTTCTATGGTTTTATACCAATCCCATTGGAAAAAAAAGCCTACGAGTCTAATTAGACCACCGAACATAACTTCAGTGAAAGCAAGCCAAAACGATCGCAAGAGATAGTAAGAACCCAATGAAATGGCACGTCACAGTGAATTTTCCTGCTTTGATACCATCAAGACATATCTTGGCTACTTCTTTAGTTTTCATTGAACCAGAGGATCCGGCTATAATGGAAGTGAGCTCTGGCCTCTTCTTCTGTTCTGAGATCCCAAACAAGAAAAATCAAATAGAATATCTCATTATGAGCCTCAACTGAGAACATCAATCAATTGTGTCCTACACTCATATTTCATTTGCAGTATTTTCACTGGGGCGATATCGTTACCAAGATCAGAGGTCACACAGGAAGAGGAGGAAAAAGACACACTTTTTCTGAGGAAAAAAGAAAGAACTTTTATTTTATTTTTCAACTTTGTCAATTGCTTGCAGAATAAATGCATTTTTTCCTTCATCCATACTTTCTTCTACACAGAGTTTCACAAGACTCATAATTTAAGTAAAAACATTATCCACTTTTAAAGTATCACCTTAGTTTCGCATATGACCTCGTAATGGACGCAACATTTATCAGTTCCCTCTAATAGAGGAAAATATTCGTGCAGTCTATCTACAACTCTTAATGAAACCAGAACTGGCAACAAATCTTGAGGTTAACTAAGTCATCCGCTCAGTATAACGAGACACCCAAGTGTTAGTCCACAATCCTAGCTTATGTTTCCAAGCGGTATACTTAGTCATATTCTACATATCCATGATGAATCAACGAAAGTTAATAGCTTTTGGACTGTCTTACCTTCTTCAAACCCGGGTGTATCAGTGTCTGGAGGAAACAAGAGAGTCACATGAATGTCATGAGAAATAACTTCTTGCTGCAATGCTTGCGCTAAACCTTGAAGCCCAAACTTGCTCGCTGAATATGCAGTGTAACCGTAGATACCTGCCTGAACAAGTAAAAAAAAAAAACAAGCAGGAATCACAGAATTGATTTGAGAAGTGCATCTCTCGAGTTCCACAATCACAAAAAGTTACAGTGCTATCTAGTGATTGAGACTGACGAAAAAAAACCTTAAAAATGGAGGCAGGGCCACGACTTTCCCTGGCTTTCATGGAAGGCAAAGCCGCCTCAATCACATTGAAGCTTCCGAGCAGATTCACATCAATCATGAACTTGACCTCCTCAGGACTCTGTTTCTCAAGCTCCTTGCCAATAAACACGCCTTGATTGACGACCAACACATCGATCGGCCCCGATTCGTCAACCGCCTTCGAAACGGCGTCGTAATCGCGAACGTCGGCAGAGAACGTGTCGACCTCGACGCCGGTCGCAAGCAGGATGGATCGTTTGGCCTCGGCGAGCTTTTCAGGGGAGCGGGCGAGGATGGAGACTCGAGCGCCCTCGGCGGCGGCGAGGTGGGCGAGACCGAGACCGATGCCGCTGGATCCACCGGTGATGAAGACGTGGCGGGACTTGATTGGGATCCTGACGGATTTAGGCCGTACGATCAAAGCCAAGATGATGAGAAGAGAGACGAGGAATAGAATGAAGAAAAGGAAGAGAGAAGAAACCATTCACTTCACATCAAGCTCAATGGCTCATCGAAGAAAAATTGACTCCGGCATGAGTGAAGGATTTGCTCAGCGAAGAAAATTAATTTGAATTTGAAGAGTAAATGACAAACAAATTAATTTTTGTTGTGAAAACTTAGAAACTTTATTAATCACTGGAATGTATATATAGAGTACATAGGGAATTTAGGTTAAGTACAATGTCCTGATGGGTCTAATGGGCCGGTATAAGAGTCCATATATGATATGTGTTATAACATTCCTCCTTGGACGAGTGAATCGGGTCAGCTACTCAATCGGGATCTCGATAATGCGCTGGGGAATGTTGCCTCATTAAAACCTTACCAGGAAAAACCCAATGAGACAAAACCATGGTGAAGGAAAAAGAGTACAACACGCATTACTCCCCCTGATTGTAGCATCACTGCAGATCTCTAAGTCTATACATTCCTATCTGTTTGACGAGCTTCCGGTGTGTTGAAGTAGGCAATGATTTGGTGAAGAGGTCAGCTGAATTCTCACTGGACCGGACCTGCTGAACGCTGAGAGTGCCGTCCTTCTGCCAGTCTGAGGTTGAGAAGAACTTCGGTAGAATGTGCTTCGTCCGATCTCCTTTGATATACCCTTCCTTGAGCTGAGCTATGCATGCCGCGTTGTCTTCATACATCACCGTGGGCTGTGTGTCTTCGTCCATACCACAATCTCTGCGGATGTGCTGAGTCATGGAGCGCAGCCAGACGCATTCCCTACTAGCCTCATGAATGGCTAGAATTTCAGCATGGTTTGATGAAGTGGCAGTGAGTGTCTGCTTCATTGATCTCCAAGAGATGGCTGTTCCTCCATGCGTAAAAACGTAGCCAGTTTGAGACTTGGCAGTGTGCGGATCTGATAGATATCCTGCATCGGCGAAGCCGACTAACCCATCTTTATTTTGGTTAGTATAGAAGAGTCCTAAGTCTTGAGTACCTCGAAGGTATCTTAGGAGATGTTTTATACCGTTCCAGTGCCTCTGAGTTGGAGATGAACTATATCGAGCGAGGAGGTTCACGGCGAAACATATGTCTGGTCTAGTGTGACTAGCCAGGTACATTAACGCTCCTACAGCACTGAGGTATGGCTTTTCAGGACCAAGGATTTCTTCATCATCCTTTTTGGGACCAAGAGGGTCATCACTTAAGCTTCTAACTACCATTGGGCTGGTCAATGGGTGAGCTTGGTCCATATTAAATCGCTTGAGTACCTTTTCGATATAAGCCGATTGATGCACAAGGATTCCTCCTTTGATGTACTCAAGTTGTAATCCCAAACAGTACTTTGTTTTGCCTAGGTCTTTCATTTCGAATTCTGCTTTTAAGCAGTCGACTGTTTGGGAGATCTCACCAGATGTTCCGAGGATGTTTAGATCATCCACGTATACTGCTATGATTACAAATCCTTTGTTTGAGTACTTCTTGATGAAGATGCATGGACTGATGGGGTCATTTTTGTAGCCTTCTTTGATGAGGTAATCGCTGAGGCGGTTGTACCACATACGCCCACTTTGTTTCAGTCCATACAAGGATTTGTTCAGCCTCATGCAGTATTGATCTCGAGATGCATTTTTGTCTTTTAGTTCAATGCCATCTGAGAGTCTCATATATATTTCGTTGTCCAGGGGCCCATAGAGATATGCGGTTACAACATCCATTAACCGCAGATCAAGATTTTCTCTTATGGCCAGACTTATGAGGAATCGGAATGTTGTTGCATCCACCACTGGAGAATAAGTCTCCTCATAATCGATTCCGGGTCTCTGTGAGAATCTTTGTGCTACAAGCCGTGCTTTGTATCGAACGACTTCACCGAGTTCGTTCCTTTTGCGTACAAAGACCCATTTGTGGCCCACTGGCTTGATGTGTGATGGGGTCCGGATGATCGGACCGAACACGTTTCTGAGTTTGAGACTCTTTAACTCCACGTTTATGGCTTCTTTCCATTTTAGCCAATCTGTTCGATGTGTACACTGTGTTATTGACATGGGTTCTAGATCCTCTTGCGTGAGCGCAACATCAAGTGCTACTTTGTATGCAAAGAGTGCATTTAAGTCGACTTCTTTTCGATTCCATTGTATTCCGGACATATTGTAATTGATGGAGATCTCATTGTTATCTTCTGAACCTGGAGATTCGGCGTCCCGAACTTCCATTGAGGGTTCATTAGATTGAGTCTCAGCCGCGGCTATGTCTGATATTGCAGGAATCCCGGTTTCGGTTATTGCACCTTTCTTTGATTTCCGAGTATTCTTATCTTTGGAACCGAGAGGTCTGCCCCGTTTGAGACGTGGTGCAGACTCTGTAGCAACTTGGGTCTGTCCCGTTGGGACAGCTATTCGTACTGGTGCATTACAAGCTGGGATGTACGATTTGGTTACTTTGGTCGGGTCAGCAAAGGAATCTGGCAATTGATTAGCTAGCTTTTGATAATGAATAATCTTTTGGATCTCTGAATCACATTCTAGAGTCCGAGGATCTTGCCAATTTAATGATGTTTGATTCCATGAAAGATCTTTGACCAGCTTGTTTGTCTCACCACCTAAAGAGGGATATACCGATTCATCGAATTGGCAATCCGCATATCTGGCCTTGAAGAGATCTCCAGTGGTTGGCTCGAGATATCTTATGATGGTGGGAGAGTCAAAACCAACATATATTCTTATCCTTCTTTGAGGTCCCATTTTGGTTCGATGTGGTGGAGCAATGGGTACATATACTGAACACCCAAATGTTTTGAGATGGGAGATGTCTGGCTCATGACCCGAGAGTAGTTGGGATGGGGAATATTTGTGTTCACTAGATGGCCGGATGCGTATGAGTTCAGCAGCATGTAATACTGCATGTCCCCATGCTGAGGCCGGGAGCTTTGATCTCATGAGTAATGGTCGGCCTATCCATTGAATGCGTTTAATGAATGATTGAGCCAATCCATTTTGAGTATGGACATGTGCTACAGGATGTTCCACGGTTACCCCCATGGCCATACAGTAGTCATTAAACGCTTGTGAGGTAAATTCACCAGCATTGTCAAGGCGGATAGTCTTTAGTGGGAAGTCAGGGAAATGGGCCCGCAATTTGATGATTTGGGCCAAGAACCTAGCGAAGGCTTGGTTCCGAGAGGACAAGAGACAAACATATGACCAACGGGTCGATGCGTCTATAAGGACCATGAAGTACCGGAATGGTCCGGAAGATGGATGTATAGGTCCACAGATATCGCCCTGGATTCTTTCTAGGAAATGAAGTGTTTGTTTAGAGATTTTAACTGGTGAAGGCCGAGTGATCAATTTGCCTTGAGAACAAGCTGTGCACATGAGGTGTTGAGGATAAGCTCGGTTTTCTTTGAGGGTATGCCCTTGAGAGTTTTGAATTAGTTTACGCATCATATTTGCACCGGGATGACCGAGCCGGTCGTGCCAAATAGTATAATCAGTAAACCGGGCTTTGAGAGTGGTATTAGCTTCAATCATACTGACTTTAGCATGGTAAAGTCCAGTAGAGAGCGCGGGTATGGTTTCGAGGATTTGTTTATGGCCGTCTACGGTTTTAGTGACTAGGAGGGATTCTTTGTTCCCTTGACCTTGGGTCTCTATGTGGAAACCATTCTGTCTTATATCCTTGAAGCTCAGAAGATTTCTCTTCGAACTAGGAGAATATAGAGCATCTGGTATTTCAAGTTGTGTGCCATTTGATAGCAACACATAGGCATGGCCATATCCTTCGATAAGGTTTGAGGGACCCGCGATGGTGCTAATATTTGCGGTTTGATAGGTTAGGTTTATGAAGTAACTTTTGTTTCTTAAGATAGTGTGGCTGGATCCACTATCTACGACTATGGTTTCCATTTGCTGGTGTGCTTTTCCACTTTTGGATTTCTGACAGGCTAATGAAACTGAGAGCTAATAGACCTCAGTTAGCCGCTACAAATTCCAAGGATTGATCACCAAAACTGGAGAAGCTGCTGGTTGACGTAGGAAAAACTCGGATCTGGTTTTTTTTTTTTTCGGTTGATCGTCGTGTACTGTAAGTGTGCGTGAGAGCGCGTCCGACGTTGGATCGACAAACGGTTTTCACCAGTAGATTCGTCTCGTCGAGGGCTTCGATTTGATATGTAGATCGTCTTCTGGTTCCTCACGGTTTGGAAGATATGCGTCTTTTAAGTTTCGACTTGCTTTTAGGGTTTTGGTGGTGGCCGGATTTATTAGGGTTTTTCGCTCAGAGAGTCTTATCGTGCTGATAACGTGTTGTGAAAATTTAGAAACTTTATTAATCACTGGAATGTATATATAGAGTACATAGGGAATCTAGGTTAAGTACAATGCCCTGATGGGCCTAATGGGCCAGTATAAGAGTCTTGATATGTGTTATAACAATCTTAATTAAACTCTCAGTCCCTTTTTTAGTGAAAAGAATCTCGTATTGATTCCACCTCCAATTATAAATAAACTAAATTATATAATTTGAATCAACGCTTGTATGTTTTTTGAATCTCGTATTTTTGCCTTGAGGGTTTGTTGGTTGCTGATGGGATTACTGGTTTTTCTGTTATTTTTTAATAGTCTGTCTGTTTATTATAGTAAGCTCTTATTTCCATTTTGGTGCTCTCAAGTTATATTGATTAATAGTAAACCTATTATCTTCGTTTGTTGGAACTTTGGTTAATCGTTAGCTATGGTAATTTCCTGTCTCTGTATGACTGTGTGAGCTCAAACTATTTTTCTGTGAGTTTCGACTATGTATTTGCATTTTCTTTCTTTTCTTTGAAATTATCTAAGAAAGAAACAAAGATATGTGATATAAATATCCTGAAAACTAAGAGATTTTTATGAAAAATGGAAAGGTCATCATCATATTATTTTTGCTCTAAATAGAAATACTAAAAGAATGAGAATTAATTATGGTAGAGACTAGAGAGAGATGGGCATGTGAGTGTGAGTGGCAGGACAGAAGATATGTGAGCTTGTGACAGTCTTTTGGCTCTCTTTAGATCTGACTTTTCTTTTATATATTTCAGACAGTGTGGCAAACTCGTCTGTGATGTCCCAAAGATACATTTTGATTGATTGGAGAGAGATAAAGACAGACATAGAACATTTGCTAATCCCACATGGGGTTTGTCTTTACACATTCCTCCACCAATCTTGTTGTAATCACCCAACTGATTTCACAAGTTGATTTTAATTAAATCCTTCAACTTTTACATTTGGAGAAGTCAGTGAATCTCTCTAAAAATGACATGAAAAAGAGTTACATTCAAACAATAACACACTTGGAACAAATCTCCAAGACCTTCCTTATTCTTCGCTGATTTACAAACAAATAAATCTTATGCATCTATAAATAAAGAATATTACTTATATGAATCAATCACACAAAACCCATAAATTTTGCAGAATATTTGTTAAATTAATCAAGTGTAGATAGATGCTGCATCTCTGTAGGTTCTTCTTGGGATAGAAGCATGAACGTTACTAGCTATCATGCTGCTCTTGTTGTTATTGTTGTTGTTGTGAGTGGTGACAGTACTTCTTGAGTTGTCATGATACTGTTGTCTGTTTTGATGAAGAGAGTGTTGTTGCTTGGCGTTGAAGGAACTAAACCTACCGTTCTTATGATGAGGCCTTCTTCTGGGATGAGAAGATTTCGGGATGAACACACCAGTCCCTTTGCTCTGTTCTTGACGATACATATATGGAACCGTTTGGTAGCCTCCTCTGAACATACCCTGTTTCCAACAAGATTCAAGAAACACAGTTAGACAGATGGACATAAAGAGATATCAAGTGTGTAGACTCCTATGAGGAACAAACCTGGAATGAGAGAGAGTCGGAGGAGGAGGAGAGAGAAACAGGGTTTAACTGTTCATCTTCATCCATGATGAGAAGAGAGATCTGTTTGCTTATGTCTGCAAAGAAGAGATCATCATCAAGCTCTAACTCCATAGCTTTCCAAGTATCTTGAGACTTGGATGTTCTGTAGGAACAAGTCTTGTGTTTTTTTTTCCTGGGTTAGCTTCAAGTGGAGTTCGAGGGAATGTTGAAAGAGTCAAATAAATAGGCGAGAAGTTGGCCCTTAGAGAGAGAAGAGCATGTGGGTGGGAGAGTGGGGCCAGAGAAGAAAGAAAGAGATTTTTGAACAATGTAAATCTAATCTGGCTAAGTCCCCACACAACACAACATGTCAACATGAAGGACAGAGGGAGGTTGTGCATTGATGTTATCCAGTTGTTAATTGTTTTAAAGATAGATAGAAGAGAAATCAAAAGCTCACAAACAACCCACATCCACACTGTTTTTTTTATTACATTAACATATCTAATACAAGACCAAAAACTTTTATACCTTTACGGCTTTACCAATTTACTACCAATAGAATCGAAACAATCATTTAGATATTGTCAAAAAGAAAAAAAATACCTTTGATAGGGGCTAAGAAAATCTTTGGTATGGCTATAAGATCCTAAAACAGCCACATCGGAAGACCGTTTGTGGTGGGCAATTGAGGAAATGGACAACACACAATTTGGATTTTGAAGAGAGAGAGAGAGAATCTAACTCATTGATATGATATGGTTTGAGGATAGTGTTTGAGTGAAGTAGGGTCACACACCGATCTTACTTGACGATTTCCCAAGCGAAGCTTGATGGTCCATATCGTATGTGTACACAATTATATATTTCTACTCACTTTCCGAGTAAAAGGAAACATGAAGGAGTTCTTATCACCTTTTTTCCTTTAAAAATATGATTTTAGTTCATTTTTTAGTCTCTGATTAGTGATTTGCACGCTGAAATCTGACCTTTCACTGGTGATAACGAATCAACGTAGAACTACCTTATCTCCTCGACCCATACTACGTTTCAAAAGGATAGTTTAATGTCTCCAAGATCAGATGAAAGGAAAGGTGCAAGTGTAAGTATAGCCACAAACGGAAAAGGAGTAAAAGGAAATATATATATATATATATTTCTGTTTTCTAGAAGAAGTTAAAAGACGATGTATATATAACTTTTTTTTTTGTCGTCGATGTATATATAACTAAATACGTTGAATTAGTTGTTTCTACAAAATAAAAAGGTTCTGAAGAATATAGCTGACGGTAAAAATAATAAATCATCAAAAATAACACCATGTCAAGTTCAATGCAATTACTCCTTAATATTTATGTTAGTGCTACTTCCATATGCGACATAAGTCCGAGTACCTGATGTCTACAATATACAGAACCAGAGAATCCTGATCATACTGTCCCAAAAGCAAATATCAAACATACGATCAACATGTTTCAGGCTCTATGTTTTTTCTTGTCACAGATTCGCATCTTCGAGGTTAAAAATAATCATATAAACCCATCTGTTTGGAGTAAAACAATTTTTTTTTCCTTTTTCATCACGCAGTAAGAATTTGCTGTCAGGGCTATTAACGACAGAACCAAAAAAGACCAATAATAAGAACAGGACAAGTAAAGCTGCCCAATTATCTTAATGGATCTAGCTGCGAGAGTTCATGCTCCAATGGCTGTATCCATGTCTGCAACACCATCAGCTCCTTTAAAAACAACCCTTAGCTTCGTTAAGCTTGACTGTTTCTCTTCGTTTTTGAGGGCAGTGCCAAACACATGCACAGTGTCCTTCTGGACTCTTCCCATCAGGTCATAGAGCGACTTGCTTAGGTTTGGTCTGTGCATTTCTTCTAGCACCGGAGGCGCCTGCATGTAGAGGCTGTCTTTCCCGTGTTTGACACTTGCTTTCGACAATAGAAGCTTCGGATGTTCCTCAAGCATGTCAATGAACTAGGAGATCACAAAACATGAACAAAATGAACTGAGACGCGGAATTTCAAATGGACACGAGTAAATCAAGGATCATGATATGGCTAAAAGGGCAGAAAAAAGCTAGGAAGCGGTGAGAAGATTAAGAACAATCACATCCAAGCATGAATATAGGGATGAAAATAAATGCATCAACGGAGATAACATTAGAGAAGAGGATATGTTCGCATGATTAAACAAATAAATGGCTAAGAAAATAATGTTCATGGCGGTATTTAATGGAGAGCGAGACAATAGAGCTAGAGCAAGGACCTTTTGCAAAGTAACTGAGGTGTCCAGCTCAATCAGAATGCCCGGACCACATACAAGACAGTCCTTGTCTCTCACGAACTCAGTCACTTTAGTGTGGAGACCCTCTCCACCGTTATACCTAGCAAAAATAAAAATCAACCAAATTGCTAGGGGATCACACTGAATTATCTTTGCAATTCTTATGTTTAACTAGAAAAACTGTAGTCCGCACACAAGCACGTAAGGGAGAAAGAAAGAAGTAAGCCATACGTCAGATAATTTGCAAGTGTTTTGCTGCATCCAGATACAATCTTCAAGGTTTCAAGTGCACAAGCTGCGGATATAATTGCGTTGGTGGATGCAATTGCCGGTATTATGTTTTTGACAACGCCCTATATGCAAAAACACATGCATTCCATCTTACATGCTTAACAGTCACACGTAGGAATACTTTAGTAAGTGAAAAAAAAAAAAAGTGAGAATAGTTGCATACTTGTGTTAGAGAGTATGTGACACCCGGAATTCCAAAAAGCTCGGCTCTCTTGACAGCCTGCCAAAATAATGCAGAATATGGAGTAAACCAAAATAAAAACCCACAGCACAAGAACGCAAAAGAATGACCTACCTCGTCATAGACCCATTTCATATGTTCTGGCTCATCAGGATCAAAGGATTTTCCTCCATGAACCTTCAGGAAGAATCGATTATAGAGTGATCAAAACAAATACATATTCAATTGGAAACAAGAGACTCTTTCAAAGAGACTACAAAAGAGAATCCATTGACATACCTCATGCCACTTAATTAGATGAGCATATTCGATGCAGTGAGCTGCATTTCTAGGGGTTTCGGCAAGAGTGCACAAAGGAAACTTCACTTGAGGTGGGAAAAGCCAAATTGTACACTCAAAACAGGGTGTAACTCCAGGCACGATAACTCTAGCATGACCCTTGAAACCCTCGGTTCCACCATCTACCATCGGCTTGATTGTTTCTCTTCTCGGGGTATCATCTTCATCATACTCTATTTCACAAGAACATGACCAGAAACAAAATAAATTTATAAAAAAAAAAAACACAAAGCCAGATAACTTAAAGAGCCGAGAAGTAAACGATAGTTAATTTTCATACCAAGAAACCCGCAAGCTACCCCATTGATGTATCTCCGAGCTTCGATTGAATCAAGACCAAGTGCAATGATATTAAAATTGTTGTAGAATTCAAGCTCTTTGTCTTCTATACGTGAAAAATGCGGCACAATCTCCACTCCGCTCACTCTCTCCATGACACGCTTTGCTGCTATCTCAGCCTTAGGCTTTCCTACGTCTTCAAGTCTAATAAATGACCAAACCAAATTAATCAAACATCTGTGCCATCAATTTCAACATACATAGCTATCAATTCCAACATACATAGCTATACTAGAAACCTGACTGAGATTACCACACAGGCACACACTAGAGACACAGGGAACATGAGAGATTCATCAGGTCAACGAAATTTCAATTATGAGGGTTTCTATTCCCTTTTCGATGAAAACCGAGAGACAGAGAAGGGGAAATTGCCTGAAGAGGAACTGGCGATTGAGATTGGTGACCTCGATACGGTCCATGTCAATCACATCCAGATTACGAAAACCCGAAAGAGCCAAGTCCTTGAGGAGCTCACAACCTAATCCACCCGCACCAACCACCAAGACTCTGACATACTCCCGTATGTCGTCCCTCAGCTGTATGGAGAAATTTAGCTCAGAAAACCATCATGAACAATACAAAATTACAGAAAACCTCAGTGAAAGCAATCGAATAACAAAATCAGAAAAACTCGAAGAAACGATAGAGAGCTGAGAAATTAAGGCTTTTACTTCGGTTCCGGGATAGAAGTCGGGGCCGACGAGATTCCCAGCTCTGAGAAGAAGCTTGTCGAGGTCTCTCGACTTACTCTGGGGAGCTTCGAGATCAGCCATTGAAACCGAAGGACGTAGAGGAGGAAGAGAGAGAGTGGCGATTCACCGAAAACTGGTGACGGAGGAGAGCTCGAAGAGTCGAAAAGAGGCAAGACGAAGCCGACACACTGCCACGGAGCTCCGAAACCTCTCTGGGCTCTCTTGGGCACGATCCTTATACTTATTGGGTCAACAATGGGCTGGGTCCAAAACTAAATTATATTAAGAAAAATGTTAAAGAATCTTCCTTGGTCGGTTAATCTGGTTAATCTGGTTAATCTGCCTATTTTTTATTAAAAAAAAATGCATTCTAAATATTAGTTTAGCAAATTTCCTTTTTCATGAAAATAATTGTGGATATTTTTGGATATTTATATCTAAGATTTTTTAGAATGTTGAAGCAAATCACCATTATATTGTCTTAAATACTGTCTAAAGATGGGTGATATTCAGATAATTAAATTGATATCTTACCACAAGGGGTTTTACCAACCAGTTCTCTCAAAATTTCTTAGACCTACTTTTTTTTTTTTTGGTTTTTGGCCTGCGCTATAAACTCTTATGCGAAGAACAAACCAATAAAAACACAGAAACGTATCAAGATGGTAACTATTTTTGCTGTCATAGGCATCGGTTGTTGTCTGGCTGTGCTTATGGGTTGTATCATCGTCGCCGTTAGTTGCATCGATGGCGATGAAAAGCAGAACAATCTGGTCGACGTGGAAAAGGGTGAAACAGCCAGACTCAGACAAGCTGATGTTTCAAGGTCGAAGATGTTCTCGCGTACCGCCACTTATGGCACTTTCGTAAACATTCATCGTCATCATAATGTCCAGGCCTCTCGCCCTTATCATCATCATCATCATCATCACCATCACCGTGGTAGATAATTTTCAATGAAACCAATCGACTACTAGATTTTATATGAATAACTTACGGAGCTAGCTCTCTCATCTTTCGATTTATTTTAAAACAGTATTAGGATTTTTTTTTTTTTGTTGATTCATTGTATAATAATAATACGGATCTATTTATGGCGTTACTCTTGCCACTGAGGTGCGAATCCCTTTGATTAGTATAAAGAAACACCTACTATAGTTTCCAATATTTCTTGAGTAAAAAGGTAATGAGACTAATCAATCCTTTACTGATGAAGTTCACTCAAAATCTTTGAAGGTAATGACATCTACTTTTACAATCAAAGATGCTTTAACCTAATTTGTAATTACATACCCCCACCCAATCAAAAAACACACCGTTGAGGTCAGACCTTTTGAAAAAAAAAAGCCTCTACAGAGCAAGAACAGCTGTTAGGTTAAGTTGTCTGAAACGCTATTCTTTGATCTTGAATAACCTTGATGCTTAAGAAACAGCGCATAAAGAAGCTCATTCCACGAATCAGGAACTCCAGGGAGACACCAATGGCTGCAATCTTCCCTGTGTACCGGCGCAGGACCAGCCGAGCCCAAGTAGTACAGTGATGGGTGACCATCGTTTCTTTGAGCAGCCATTACCGTTATGTTCAACAGTTTCAGTTTAACCGTCTTTGATATTTTCGAGTAGTAAAGAGACGACAAGACATCTTGAAGGAGCTTCATATGTTGCCATGTCTCTGATGGAACCAGAGACGCTCCAAAATCAGGGAATGTCTCCATGTGACATGTTCCTCCTGTTCTCCAATCTCCTCCCCTGAAACGCAATTAAAACGAAACTTAGACAGATTGATCGAAGACTCTTGTTTTAAAGATTATGTGTGTCAAACCTGAAATGCACGGGGGCAAATGTGCGAAAGAAAACTTGTGTTTTGCTTGAATTAACCTCTTCTTGTATCCATTTCAAGACGGTCTTCATTGCTCGTCTATAGGCATGGTCTATCTTCATTTTCATTCTCACCTTGTCTCCTTCCTGAAAGTAACAACCTCTGCAGTAACAAATCCAAGATCGGTCAGGGAATCCAAAAACCAATCTGATTGGTCCAAAGATTGTTAGCAAGAAGAAAGAAGCTAACCCGCGGATAGTTTTCTCGTAGTTCCACCAATGACCCGTGTTAAACACTAATATGTCGGCGTCTCTCCACTTGTCGGCACTCCAATCCATCGTCTCTAGCTTAAGAGTCGTCTTTACCTTTTCTGGTGATCCTTTAGGTGGACGGCTTTGGAGAACCAGAAACGGCGCTCTATAGTACTCAACAGTGCAATTGTAGTCATGAAACTTGAATACAAAGAAGCCCATGTGCTTTGAGATGGGCTTATTGTTCACTTCGTAGACCAAATTCTTGTTCTCGATTGCAGATGATAGCAGACAAAGAAGAGACTCCCACTGGTTTCTTCCAATAGAGTCTCCTACAAATACCAGCCGCTTGTTCCTTAGTTTCTCCAGCATCAACTTCGCATCGAATCTGATCCATTTTCATCCCAAAAAAGAGTGGGCTAATTAGTAACCGAATTCAAAGAGACACATAGCGAAATCTACATTGGTATCTTCTAAAGTTCGTCTTTCTATGTAATCTATAAATCCATGCCAAAAACTCTTCAATAACATTTCTAATCCCAGACAATCTCTAAGGAAAAACTGTGGTCATACATGTTCTTTGGATCCATGTTCATGAGTCTCACGGGTTCATATAATACATCTTCAGTGACATCACAAGGAACACGCAAGACAAGGAAACGTGAGAGGTAACGCCAAAACTTGAAGAATACTGAAAGTGACTTAAAATGTGTAATTTTTCCAGAGGAAGATTGGATAATCTCAAGCAAACCTTTTAGATACCGAGAAAAATGCAGGAACTTAGCAGGAGAAACGGATTGCAGAAACTGTGAAGAACGTAATAAAGAGCCGTTTTTTTTTTCTTCACTTCCCCACATTTTTCAGGTCAAAAAGACTTGTTCGGGAAGAGAAAAAGAAACATTACCTGGGCAAATTACAATGTGTAGGTTGCCATTTCCACTTGGTGTAGAACAAATCAGGTCTCCCGAACTCAGTGCATCTGAATCCTTCATCAATAAAGAAGCAATCTTTGGACTGATACAACGGATACGATTCGTCCCAAACCCATTTCCCATCGAACACATCGCAACCATTCCCACTTTCTTCAAGAAACTCAACTCTGTCTTCGTTGGTGTTGTTGTTAACTCCAGACCCGTTAACATCGAGCTCCTTGAGCCACAGGAATCTCTCCGACTGATCCGAGAAGCCGTGACTTTTGGTTTTAGCTACGGTTCTGTAATCGAGGAAGAAGAAGCTGAAGACTAAACACAAACCCACCAAGAAAAACCCCAAGATTCCCAGTGAGGGCTCGAACACGAGCCTTAAACGCTTGAATCTCTTGATTACTTCGGAGATTGGCATAGCTTCATCGTCTTCTTCGAGAGACGGGTTCTTCGACATCTGAGGTTTTAAAATGAGGAAACAGCTGCAAAGTAGAAGACTTTACTATTCCCTGGGCTGATTCTTCTACTTCTTCGCCTTCTTCTTGTGATTCTTTTTCTTCTAAAAGAAATCCAAAAAGGGGGAAAATGAATGAGAAACAAGAAAGAGACAAGGACAGTGGCCAGTGAAGCTGAAGAGGCAGCAGCGTTGCTTGAGATATTAGATTCTTCAAATTAAGAAATGGATTAGCGAACTAAAATATAAATCCAAAGCTGCAATAAACGATTTCGGTTCGCTTTCAAAGTCTAAACAAGTGAAAACAATGAAGAACACTCTCAACTTTTTTCTTCACCGCCTTGTTTCACAAAAGAGGGAGACTTGGAGTGTGTATGAATCGTGGGGTCCTTTTAAGTGGTGGGACCCGTAGATCCAAAAGATGACACACGCGCGAACGTGGCGCGTAAAGGAAATGTTCGCGAAGAGAAATGGTGAGAGTGGTGGGGCCAAAGACGGCGTAGCTAATTTTAAGTACCCATTAAACGGTGGCGTTTGGCGCGTTTAAGAATGGAACGTGATTCTTTTTCTTTTCAATATTTAAAGTTTTTTTCATATACCAAAAATAGCGTTTTGGTCAAAAAAATTTGTCTACATGTGATTAAGATGATGGTTCGAAAGCTTAGCAATAGTGTAATATGTAATGAATAATGAAAAACTTGATTTTGGTAGGCTCAATAAATTGAATATGGAAACCAGATGGAATCTTCAAATGATTATATCTTTTTGAATTCTCTTAATTTCTTAGCTTTTTGGAAACTTATTTCTATGAATTAAAGTTTCTCTTTAGAAGATTTTAGAATATTTTAAGTTTAATTGCATCTTTCCCGTATCAATCGTTTATTTATTACCAAGAATAGCTTTTAATCTGCACTGCGTTTTTTTTTATTGAACTGAGTTTTAGTTCTTGTCTAGAGCCACCTATTGAATGGCTTGTTGGATTTCTGTATTTAGGTTAATTAGGAAATCAGATGGAATCTTCTAATGATTAAAGAAAAGTAAATTAATTTACGAAGCTCGAAACTCCGAATCGAAGCCGTCCATGCCGGAGATTTGCATGATCACATCACATGTCAATTGTCTAGGGACAAGATTCAATGAGTCAGAGAGTGGGAATCGAGAAAAGGTTGCGTACCAGCCAAGATCAAATTACCTTTAACCGTCTTATTAGGAGGTTCCCAAGATCATTAAAAAGCTTTTGTCTTAATGATGATTGCTAATATTAATGTTTTTATAATGATGTGGTCGAATGCTAAAATGTAGAAGAGAGAATGGATCTCGTAATAGTTCCATTACAATGTTACTTCCTCTTGTGTTTCCAGTAACAATTCAGCCAATCAACTTTGATTTGCAAACGCCAATCGTCGTAGAAGAATATCTTCGTAGAGGACCAAGAAAAACTGTAATTGTAGTTTGAGTTCACAATTGTTCATGGTTTGCTTGAGATGGGCCAGTTTCTTACAGAACAGAGATTGCTTAAGGTTGCCGATATATGGGATGGTTGTTAATCCTTGCGTTAAGTAAGATTCAAATTGTACTACACTAAGATAAGATTCTAAGGTTAGAGATTGATGTTAAGGTTGATCTGAGATCAAGAAAATAAAGAAGCAAGCATCGACAAGGTTCTTCCTTACACATTCCTAGGCCAGTCGTAGAGAAAAAAAACACTGATATGATCTAGCTTTTCTCCTCCCACCCCTCCAAATTGTTGTTATCGTCCCACCTCGCTTCTTCTTGTTCATCTACAAGATCAGAGAGTAAGAGAAACATTGTGAACGCTCAAAGTTCTAAGTTAGAGCTTCTAACAGACAATGGATTCCCTTTAAGACGCAATGATCCAAGGGGGGAAAAAAAACTGAAGGAGAAACTCTAAAAATGGTCAATCATCTTCTCGTATTAGCACACTGCATTAGAGTGAAAATGTTCTGGTTGGTGATAATCATTGGCGACTCTACATGATTTGACTAATCACACATATCATCAGAATCATTATTTATGTTCAACCATTTCGCAATTATGCTGGTTTAGTGATCGAAGTCAAAGAGATTCCGTCACTATGCGCTTCTCATTCTGCCATTCTATTCATAATCCTTGTATTTTTACGAGATTCTGTGACTACAGCTTGTTACCAATCGGAACCTGAAGCAAGATACTAGGACTGGAGAAGAAAAGATCGAAACTTTCTTTTGCAATAGTGCCAACACTACAAATAAACTAAGATGAGATATCTACAAATTTTCAATGAGATGTATCTGCAATATTCAATCCGAGCAAAGAAAGATTTTGAAATACCAAAACCCAGATTGGGATTTTCACAAATATCTGACGCATCATGAGATTTTCAAGACGCATTGTTCACTTCCACAGTCCAGAAACAAACCCCCTAAAGTAAATCGATCCATCAATTAACCAATCATTCCCGACACAAATCTATCTCTGGTTACACAGAAGCAAAAGCAAGAATCGAGCGATTGAAAAAGATTGAAAGAGAGGATATAGAAGACCTTGTTGTTGGTGTTGAGAAGTTTGAGATTGAAGAGATCGTTCGTATTGTTCAGCCTTTTCAAGGAAAGGCTTGTAACCAAGTTCAAGTGACAAGTAACCAAAGGCCAGTGATCCCAACACTACCACCGATGATCGAATCGCGTTGTCCATCACCGTCCGCTTCATCTTCTTCCCCTCTGTCTCTCTCTCTCTCTCTGTGCGAGAAAGTAAAAGCCTCCGATTCTGTAAGAGTTTCTTTCCTATAAAATAATAAGACCCTGCGAGTCAGTCAGAGTATCCGTCTCTCGGTGCTGTATCCGAAGCGGTGGGTTTCTCGGCTAGATTCAACGAGAATCTGATGTTGGCGAAGCATGGCGTCATCTCTGGCTTGGGACGATTAACTTCTCACTCACCTTCTTCTTCTTCTTCAACTGTGCTCAGAAGGCAACTGTTCTTGGTACGAACGCTTTGTGGCTCAAAAATCCATCGCCTTAAGCTCATCAGAGCAATGAGTTCCACATCGGAGGCCGACGCTGAGAGTGTCCTTAGAACTGTGACGCCATCGCTCGACCCCAAACGACACAAAGGCCAAGCTGGTGAGAACTCTCCCTCGTCTCTGCGTATTTTGTTTTTGCCCCTTCTTGTTTCAGTTACGCAATATTTCAATTGTGTGATCGGCAATGAATCAAATTCGAGTTTCAAAGTTTGAGTCTTTTGGATTTCCTCATGTTTAGCTCCTGTGTTGTATAATTGATCTGTGTCAGGGAAGATAGCTGTGATTGGAGGCTGTCGTGAATACACAGGAGCTCCATACTTCGCCGCCATTTCAGCTTTGAAAATCGTCAGTAGTATTTGTTTTTATTAGCCATTGCAGCTTTTTTCTACTCATCTTTGGTTTAAGTTAATCTGTACACAACAAAGAAGACTGACTCTTTGTCCATAAATATGTAGGGTGCTGATTTGTCTCATGTATTCTGCACGAAAGACGCAGCTCCTGTTATAAAGAGCTATAGTCCTGAGCTTATAGTTCACCCTGTGCTTGAGGAATCGTACAGCATCAGGTGAATACTCCTACTCTGTGATTTCATTCATTAGGTTTTTTTATTACAAGCCTAGCTTCATAATCTCTTCATGTTGTTATCTGGACGCAGTCAATACAGTGAGGAAGATAAAAGAAAAGTCCAGGATAAGGTGCTCGGAGAAGTCGATAAATGGATGGAAAGATTTGATTGCCTTGTAATTGGTCCTGGTTTGGGAAGGGATCCATTTCTCCTGGTACAGATTTCTCTGCCCTTGCTTCATCACTTTACAGGATTTAATTTTTCAATGCTTTCGTGGTTGACTTGACGCCTCTGTATTTTCCAGGAATGTGTGAGACGAATCATGCTTCTTGCCAAGAAGTTCAATGTTCCTTTTGTTGTAGATGGGGTAAGCAGTGACATATTGCGTAAAGGTTGGATCTTTCTTCTTTCCGCGAACATTTTGATTGTTTGATCTCTTGTTTATTCCATATGGCGATTCTGCAGGACGGGCTATTTCTTGTAACAAATTCCATTGATCTTGTCAAAAGTTATCCGCTTGCTGTCCTAACCCCAAATGTAAATGAGTATAAGCGTCTGGTTCAGAAAGTGCTGAATTGTGAAGTAGATGAACAGAATGCTGACGATCAGCTACGTTCTTTGGCCAAACAGTAAGTACAAAGTTCAGTTTACAGGTCTAGAAAGAATTAATTAGAGTCTGAAAATCTCCATGGGAAGGCTCATCTGGCGATCTGTAGCGGAAAGTCTGATGATAGTAATGTTAAACGCCTGTGTCATTCAGGATTGGTGGCGTCACGATTCTGCGAAAGGGGAAATCTGATCTTATAAGCAACGGGGAGACAGGTGAGTAACCTTTTCTTGATCTTTTGATAGAGAACGTTGAGAACGCCAGGTTTGATCATGTCTCATTTTGCAGTAAAATCAGTGAGCATATATGGTTCGCCAAGGCGCTGCGGTGGACAAGGCGACATTCTCTCCGGCGGGTGAGTTCACCATCATTATATTGGTCAGGATACGACGGTTAAAAGTCTGAACTTTTGTAGCACACTAATATTCACCTACATGGATTTGGTTTCATCTAGTGTCGCAGTGTTTTTGTCATGGGCGCAACAGCTTAAATCAGATAGTGAAAGGTTAGATACCTCCTTTATTTGCTCTGCACAGCCTTTTTTTTCTCTATCATTTTATAGCTCGACGTTGATTTTGAAATTAAAAACTTTCAGTCCCTCTGAGAATCCAGCCATCTTGGGTTGCATAGCTGCATCTGGCCTGCTGAGAAAAGCTGCATCTCTGGCTTTTACAAAACATAAGAGATCAACTCTCACAAGCGACATTATCGAATGTTTAGGGGAGAGGTATGTATTTCTTTCTTCTTTAAAATTGCTGCATCAGAGAATCCACAAAAGTTTATGTCTCGGTCATAATATTTTCGGCGTTTTTACAGTTTGGAGGATATCTGCCCTGCATCTGTATCTGCACAACAAATGAGCTAGAGTTGTCTTCCCTTCTACTGCATCCTATTGTCTGTGAGAAACTTTAAAAGCAGTTCCTCTTTGTCTTTTTTTCCTCAGTCCTGTTCTTGTCAATAATAAAACCTGAACGTTGAGATTATAAAATAAAGATTACTACTCAACCAATACTCAGGACCCATTCTCTGCCAATCTCATTATAGCTTCTTACATATCCATGTTTGTGAGTGTAGACAAATTGAGAATTGCGAGATTTACTGGAGAAACAAGTTATGAACAAGAGATACAAGGATCAAAAGAAGGTGGATATTTGGGTTTCTGAGACATAACTTATTAGGACGAAGACACTAAAAACAACAGAAGAGACAGACACCGGCTGTACAAAGATGTAAAAGACAACAGAGAGATACAACACTACACATATCATCACCAACCACTGATAGCTTATAGAACTCATAGAACACCTTCTTGATTTCGCCTACATCATTACTTCTTGATTCTCAATCTGCAAGAACTGCTGCTCCTTCCACCTGTTCCCACCACCATTGTTTGTGTTATGAGCCTGAGAAAAACAAAACTAAGTATGATTTGTTTTTGAAGAATCATTCACCTTGAAGGTGGCTCCCCAAATTTCTTCCTCTTTAGCAGGAATGGCAGTGATCTTGTTCTTAGGGTTCTCAAAGCTCCTAAGCCCACCTAACGCCGTCGAGTAATAACAGCCTGCGCCACACGCAAGCACAGCCATTATAAATTGCTTCAATGAGGCCCTCAAAATCTTGAACTTAGGAATGAAAAAAACATAAATATGAAATACCAACCTTGAGGGAAAGAAGCAAGAGACTTGCCACAAGCACCTTTCAGCAACTCAACATCATCAGCAAATGCCACACATCCATCTGCTGTTATTCCCCAATACAATGGAACCTTACCAGCTTGGTCCTGCAGCAAATCAAACCCGATTTTTACCGCCAAATTCAATCTACCTTACAGTTTTTTTTTTAAAAAGGCTTATTGAGGGCGTGAAAAAGAACTTACAGAGGCTACAAACAGAGTGGAGGTTGATTTATCGAAGACCACAAAGGCGAAATCGCCACTCAGGTGAGCCACGACGTGGTTGGCCGGGTAAGGAGCTCTGTCACGGAGAGTCTTATAAGCCTCGATGACCAAGAGAACCTCGTTCGCATTCTTTGCAAGCCCGTATTGCTGCTTCAAGCTTCCTAGATTGTCAAGCGAGCCTTGGAACAAGCAGAATATCTCATCCTTAGCCCCAAATGACCTGCATCAATTACAAAAATAAAATAAAAAATCTTAAGACAAGCCTACGTATATTGACAAAGTCCATCCAACTTAACTCAAATTGAGATCTCTGTAAGAACAAAATAAAGGTTTAAACTTTGAGGCCGTTTGAAGAAAAAGTATTGAACTTGTTGAAAGTTTTAAATGAAAATAGTCAGATGGATGAGTCAGCATCGGATCTTTAAATAGACATATAATTATGAATGTACTGGTATTGATATGGGTTAGAGCTAAAGATAGAAAGTGAGGCATCATAATTCATAAGGCTATCTACATTTAATGGTTGTGGGGTTTATCATGATATGGTTTGGTGGACCAATCAAAGCTGCCTTTGTAGATTGGCCATGCTATGTCATATCCAAAAACACATATAGCCCCTGTAGTCCTGACTTTTAACTATATTAGAGAATAGAGATTTGTGGATGATTTGTCCAAATATAACTTTTTAACCATATGGTGTCTGATATGATTGGTTATTGTTGTGGTTACTGAAGTTACCGTATCGCGAAAAAAAAAAAAAAAAAAAAACTAGTCATTGAGAAAACTGGTTCATGGATAGTAGTAAATCATTGGTATTTTGTAAAAATAAAATCCTATCTAATTATTATGATCCATCAATGATCGCATGCAGACTCCTTTTGTCTGAGCTTGGACCAAATTTTGTCCAATTTTCAATTTTATTTCCTAATATGATATATATCCTCTTCATTTTTGTTTTAAGAAAGTGATTTCTCTTGTGCTATTTTTTTTTCTTCAGTAGTTAGCAATCGGAGTCTCAGTGACATGATGAGGAATTCAGATATGAGTCATGAGAGACTTGTGAATCCAACACAACTTCTGAGACGTGTCTTCGTGCCATCGTCACCGACAAAGTCAACAACTAAAATTTAGTATCTAAAATTTTTTGGATCTTCAATCTATATTTTTTTCATTTTGTTTTAGGTCATGAATATTACGTGTAAATTACATGAGCTGGATCCATATTATATTGATGGATTAATTCTCTGATGATCCCAAAAAGAAAAACACCTGGATCCATACAAATTGAAAGAAATCCTTTTAATGAGCTATATTTACTTGGATATGTACTCAAATCTTAAAAATTTTAATTTTGATATATGAATCATCCATACAATTAGGATCGATACATTTTATAAAAGTTACCTATGATGTACCTTGTCTATGCCTATTTCTCAAAATTTATATATTTCAGAAAATTTATATGGACTTTACTCTTTAATTATTTATAGTTTGGGTCCACAGCCCACAAACACATCACCCTAAGTTTAGTGGAGTGCTTAGGAGGAGAATATTATGTAAATCGGAATCTAGTAGAAGTATTATAAAACAAAAATATCTACGAAATTAATCTAATTAAATGAATTTCACTAATTCCCTCTATGGCTCTATCCACTGCAGTTTTAGATAAGAAATTCGGACAAAATAGCATCCAATTGATCCATGCAATTGCTGTAGTTTTCTTTTTAAAATGATTAATTTGATTTTTTTTTTATAGTAGATACGATCGGACGGTGGAAACTTTGGAATCATAGTAAAGCTGATTTTTAAGAAGAAAACGAAAATAAGTAAATCGCCGGCGACTCACCTCGGCCGGAGAGGATTCTCTTTGTGGTGGCTATACGCAAGCTGCACATCGTCTCCGACTTGTATACACACGGCGGATGGATTTTTTCCGACGAACCGTTTCACTAGAGCCTCTCCGGTTGTTTTCGGCGACGGAGTTCGGCTTCCGGCAGCCACCAGCTCTTCCGGCGGCGATACTACAGCTCCGCTGAAAATTCCCAACATTTTCTCTCTCCTCCGCTAATAACAAGTAATTCCTCAATATAACTCCCAAACAAAAAAAAAACAAAAAACAAATATCTAATTTCTTAGATAATTGTGATCTTTGAGTTACTTCTCTGTTAGAGATATATCGAACATGGAGGTTGAGACAAAGGGGAGAGATGGTGTTTAAATAATAGGAGGATGACGAAGGATATCGTGGGTATTTTCGTCATTTCAGGTTCTCCTGAATCTTCTCTTGATTCTTCTGATTTTTTTAACTCTTACACTGAAATTAACGTCTCGACGTCAATACGTATGGCAGTGACGCACAAATACGTAGGTCCCACACGGAAGAGATGGAATCATTCTGGAGCGTTAGATTCTAGTTTTGTGGGACATATGTTGCCATTTGTGGTTTCTTTGTCTTATCCATCTCCTTTTCATACACGTACGTAGTTACTGAAAATTTACTCCAATCATGTATAAAAAATCTTCTTCTTATTTGATTTAATCATTGTAAATACGTAATGCCTAAAAAAATCATCGTACATGCTTTATTATTGATTTTCTATTTTTGATTATTGCAAAACTCCTAGTAATAATGATCTAAATTTTACTAATTGATTGAAACTTTACCTTCGTTTCTATTTTCAAGCTAACATCTATTTTTCATAAAAAAAAAGAAAAAAAAAACATCCACTTCAAGCAATAAACACAGACGATTTCTTACAAGTTACAGTTTTTTCTACCATTTTCATCACCATATTTTCTTACATTTTATATAAGGAAACCAGCAAAACTACTTAAATTAAACTAAATATGTATGCAAACGGTGAATGATAATAGGCATATATAAAAGCATATAGTTTCCTTTTTTTCATCAACTTATTTTTTTTCTGGGACAGAATCTGTCTATTTCGACTAAATTTAATGTTGACACAAAAATAACAAACTCAATTAAACCGGCGATAATTAATCTTTTTGGTAAGAAAAATCTGTCAATTAAATCAAGTGATGTATCACCATATTTTTTTCTGTTTTTTTACTAAGTCGATTCTATTTAATCACCAACCAGAACCACGAAACTTTAAAATGTGGTGTGATTCAAGACCTTTAAATATTTTATGTGTTTGTCCAAATCATTTATATTTTTGGAGCGAGGTAAATTTTGTGTTCTGAAAGCAACTTGAACCTGATTTTTTTCAAAGGACATATAAATTTTCGATTATTCGTACTATTATTGAAATTAAAATATATATATATATATATAATGTAAATAAAAAAATGTGTTGACAGAAAAAGAGAAGAAGAATATTAGAACAGTGGACGCCCATTGTTTTTGTTCTGGATCTGGCCCACGGTCTTGGGTAATCTACCCTTGCACATTTCCACTTTTATTCAGTTTTCATATCAGTTCATGCGTGGTTTCGCGACTTATCCTTATGAGTTTTAAAATGAAAACAATGTTTATTTACTAAAGTAATAGTAGAAGGCTGAAAGTTAAGACTTAAAATGAAGACCAAACTTCAGAAACTGAAACATTAAATAAGATTTATCAGAGAAAACACAATATGAGCTGCAATTGCGTGGTACACTGGTAGGCGACAAAACAGTATGAGACTTATTTCAGAGAAACATCTGAACCAGCAAATTTTATTTAGAAATGTGTAAAAAATATTATTATTATTATTATTGACCTAGATAATAATTTTTTTTCTAATTGGTAGATATAAGTTGGTTTAAGATCGTTCGATATATTTGAAGTTTTGGAAAAAACAGTTCTACGTGACCTAAATAATAATTGAACTCCAAGAAAGAAATTAAGCCTTCGATTGAACACAAAGATGGGTGAGTTGCTGAAGATTTTTGACTATTGGTTGAGAAAATGACACACACAAAATGGGTTTTGGGAAAACCCATAAAACAATATAAAAGGTTTGGTGACAACAACCGAGATATGTATGAGATAAGATTTAAAGTAAATATGTCGTGCCAAATATCAGAGACCACAATGTGGACCGAAGAAATCTTGAATAAATCGTTTTGGAGTCGTCATTTTAAACTTATTCTTCGTAGGAGGTATCCCTAATTCAGGCTTTAATCACCCTTTTACAAATTCACACTCACTACCAAAAATTGACGAAGCCGGATTTTACAAAAAAAAAAAAACTTTGGGATCAAACTGGCTGATTGAAATTTCATCCAGCGCGTGTAAGACCAGTTTGATCGGGCGATCCAAATTGGTCAAATGTGTTTTGTTTTCATAGATTTGGCGGCACTGATCTCTATAACAACACGGCTTAATCAGGCCAATTTATATGCACTAGTTTTTCATTGAAACAACTTTACCAAAAACCATATTGACTAGAACCCGACGAACCGGACTAATCTAAAAGCCTCCAACAAATGTTGTTTAGGATGCTGCTCTTGATATTAGAGCTGCACTATTTGACATTTTGAGTGGACGACTATTGTATTAGATATTGTCTAATGTCCACGAATATGGATGATTTAATTATCATCATGTTTCTGTGTATATATATATATATATATTTTTTTTTGACTTTTCTATCAGATTCAACATAAACTATCAAAATAATATTAACTAAAATCAAGAAAAATATTGATTGTATAAAGTGACTGAGAAATAAAGACTGACGTTCCATTTTATTTTATTGTTTTAAAACATAAATCATTATTAAATTTTTATTGTGGAATTTTTTAAAAGCCACAAGTTGTATTATTTTCTTATCAACTCACAAAAACAATTACAGAAAATAGAAAGAGATACTTGAGCAATGGCATTGGCAAATGGCAACCATGGGCCTGGGAGTGGGAACTACTAAAGCTGAAAACGACGTTGATATTGTTTTTATTTATCTTTACAAATTTTCCAGAAATTATTTCAAAACAAAACAATAATTGCATAAGAACATGACCCTTTTTGATCCTAAGTACGAAAATCCAAAATGAAAACTGTTATTAAGTCATATGTGAGATTATTTTATCTTTTTAGCTATATCAGAAACTTCTGAAATATGTTCCATGAAAATGATTTGTCCATGTTAATCTCTATTCAGGAAACTCGTATGATTTAGGTAGGGTAAATTGTGTCAAATGCTAATATCTGTGTCTATGCTACAATTTTAAGTTACGATCTTTTGTTTACTTTAAGAAACACGATATTACTAGTTTTTCTCAAAAAAATCTTATGCAAACAACATGCTTATATATTCATATATATATATATATATATATATAAGAAGTTAAGAGCGTATAATATAAACAACTATCTTGCTTAGAATATTACTGAACTTATTTTAAGGTATAATTGTACTAACAATAAAAAATTCTTTTAGCGTTTAAATAATAAAAGTGAATACAAGTGAAAAATGGATATGAAAATATATGTTTAGATCAAATTTTGACAAATATTATTTCTCATGACATCAGGATATTACTCTTGTCACAAAGAAATGACATCAGGATGTTTGGGGGTAATACCAAGTATTAACTAATCAGATCGTAGTACATAAACATCAAACCCGCATGGAATGACGGCCCTTTAACACACACACAAACCCCCCCCCCCCCCCCGCTTGGGATGATCTTATTAAGTTGTATAAATTTGACATATAAAGTATTTTTTGGAATTCTAAAATAATGGTGTACTCTTCTTCTTTTTCTTCTTCGTTTTTATATTATTATAGTAATTTGAGGGAACAATGCATAAAAGTGGTCATTTACGAGAATTTGTGTAAGAGTCACACGATCAATATACAGAAGGAAAAAATAATATTTCACTACGAAGGATTTTTGTTGCTAAGATTTTTTTTTTTTTTTTTTGAAGATTGGGTGACTCTTAAAAATTTTAAAGCAATATGGTGTGGACATGTAGATCTAAGCACCTCCAATGGTGTATCATGAAGGGTTTATAGGCTGGGTTCATCCATTATTTGGATTTAAAAAAAATCAAAAAACTCATTTTCTTGATGAACTAGTTTTTAGGGAAGAATTTTTAGAACCCAATTTTGATGGGGTTCATCAACGACGTGCAGTTTTCTATTGGTAAATTTTTTTTTTTCTGCAACAATCTTTCTCTTCCCCCGAAATAGTGAACCTCTGGAGAGAATCACTATTGAAGAAGAAAATTTGATGAGTTCTAAATTTTTCATTCTTCAAAATTAAATAAATAAAAAATTAGAGATGAACCCATAAAGAATTCACCATTGAGGGTGTTCTAAAAGCTTCCGTATCATTTAAACTAACAATTATTATTGGACCATCGTTCATCTTTGATAGAATGATATGTAGGCAAAATGGTCACACATCTCAATCACATTAGTACTGCCAATCACATCCCTGATCCCACAAAAGACTTCGTATGCTGATATTGTAATTATTCCTCTTCCTTTTCCGTTTTGGATAATATCACAACTTTTCAAAATGTTCTTGGGGTTTTGTATCTTTTATTTTATTTGATGCGATCATAAACGAGTCCAGCCCACTATTCTCTGTATCCAACTTTTTCTTCCATTCATTTGCTAGTTTAGAGAAAGAAGAATATGTCATTGTGCTTATAAATTATCATATTAACTAGCTAGAGTTACTAGGTTCCAAAAAAAAAAACTAGCTAGCTAGAGTTACTAGATCCAAAGTGATCATGATAATAGTATTGAGAAACGTCTAATTTTGTCAGTTGATTCTATATATCATTTACCAATCGATTTATTTGTTTATCTTTACTCGTACGATATTAGAATTTAATTTTTATTTATTTATTTATTTTCCACAGTGAAACATACTGTATATATCTGTTGCGAAATCTTAATAGCAAAAAAAAAAAAAAAAAAAAACCTCAAAAAAATATTTTGGCATGAAAAGTAGAGAGAGTACTGGACCGTCATTATGTGAATTAATTGTTCAAGCCCGTCGTTGAACTACCCAAATCAAAATAAAATACAAAGGGCTTCTTTCTAACTTTATAGCCCACACATCATATTCGGGCTAACCCGTTTCGACCCGCCGTCTACAATCAATCCCCAAAAGCCACGCGATAATCGGTCACCTCTACGTGGAATTGATCGGGGATCTGTGGATCATGGCGACGGAGAAACGGGAGGAAAAGGAGGAGGCGAAAACCGATGATGGATCTCCTAAAATCAAACCGAGACCGATTGTTCAGCTGGGAATTTTTCTCATCAGTCACAGTCCCGTGTTCAGGTGAGTCTTTACGCCATCATTTCTCTTCTTCCTTTTTTTTCTATGTTTTGACTCTTTCCCTGTTGGTTCACTGATGCTCTGATCGTGTTCCAGTGTGGTTTTCTCTGTCGCTGGGGTTATGGCGCTGCTGCTTTTACCGCTACTTGCAAAGAACACTTACATCTCCGAGAATGCTCTAATGCCAGGTTTTTGCGTACCTAAGAATGCGATGAAAGTTCACATTTCGATTCAAGTCTCGTTGTTAACTTACATTCTTTGGATTATGAGTGTTGATGTTGAATCATGTGAGTCTATGGCTTGCCAACTTCGAATGCTATGTTATTAGGTGGTTTACATTTTCTTTTTTGACTCTATTCTTCAGGATCTGCAAGGTCGATGCTCTCTCATCGGGATGTTTCTGATGGAAGCAAACTGGTGAAGGACATCAAGAATTTTAGGCTGAATCATGAAGGCCAGGGTGTGTATGTCTTTTCTCCATTATAATTCTTTCTTCAAGTTACGAAGTCCCAACCGTGCAGACTCCGTTTCTTTTCTGCAAGTACATTTTATTTTCAAGATTTACCAGTTGACATTCTCATGCATCTTCCATAGACCAAGTAACTTAATGATTCTCCATTTGTGTGATTTTTTTCCCCTAGTGAAGTCCAGAGGCTCATTGGAAAATACATGTCAGAAATGGGTGCTGAAGTTTCTTATCAAAAGTTCCATCCTGAAGGGAATCAATTTCACCCCCTGCACTTCTTCTCTGGTCCTGCTTCATATACATTGCTGGAAAATGTCAGCTGTGCTTCTTATGGGGTCAATGTTGCTGGGATTATAAGAGCCCCTCGTGGTGATGGAAAAGAGTCTATTGTGCTGGTCACTCCCTTTGATTCTATAAATGGTGGTGATCATGAGGCTTTGTCTTTAGGCATTGCCAGCTCTCTATTCTCCTTGCTCGCTAGAGTTACCTGGCTTTCCAAAGACATAATATGGCTTGTTGCTGATTCTCGTTATGGAGACTATAGACCTGTTGCTGCATGGTTAAATGAATACCACACACCTTCATTTCAAGTCTCAGATTTGTCGAAGTGTGACGAGCTTAATATACCTGACAGCTTTAGACGGGCTGGAACAATGGCTGCTGCTTTGGTTGTGAAGGTTGATGGTAGAAGTGAAAGGTTCGAGGACACACTAAGTATCTATGCGGAGGCATCTAATGGGCAGATGCCAAATCTCGACCTCATCAATGTTGTAAATTACTTAGCGGTGCACAGGCAGGGTTTTTATGTTAAAGTGGAGAAGGTTGTTTCTTTACTTTCCTCTAGTTGGCTAAAGATTGTTGGGGAAAGATTTGAAGCTGTTGGAAAAGTGGCTCATACATTAAATCCCGACTGGAATTTCGGTATCCCAGCGGCAGATTATCTTGAAGGCAGTGCTACCCTTGCAAGCTCACTCTATTCCCAGGTGAAGTGTATAGTTTTTTCTGTCCTAATTAAACTCTTCTGGTTGCAGTCACACTGATACATTGTAACAAGGTTAAATCTTGAAGGCTGACAAATGTTTCATTTTTTCTTTTTCTCATCAGGCCCTTGGTATCCCAACTGGCCCTCATGGAGCTTTCCGCGATTATCAAGTTGATGCAATCACTTTGAAAGTTTCACCTAGATTCCATCCTGACAGTAAGGCAAGGCAACACGATTTCTTTCTGCGAGGTGCCCAGTGAGTTTTCTTCTTTATATTTTCCTTCTTTTTATCCCGTATACCTACCTCTGCTAGTTTATGTGAATTTTGTAATGTTAAAAGAACTACAATAAATCATTGATGCAGTATAATTTAAGCATTGTAAACTCTGTATGAGTGTTAGATGATAGCTTTGTGCTTGCTCTTTTTAAACGCAGGTTACTTGAAGGAACTATAAGATCAGTGAACAACCTCCTTGAGAAGTTCCATCAATCGTTTTTCCTGTACCTTCTAACTTCCCCAAGCAAATTTATCTCTGTAGGAGTCTACATGATCGCCTTTGCCCTTCTTGTAGCCCCTCTTCCGATGGTCGCAGCCTCTTTATACATTGATGGCTGTAACGCTCTTACCAAATCCACTCATAATCCCGCCAAAAACCTCAAGTCATGGAAATGGCTAGACGCTGCCAAACAGGTGTTTGCTTTGCACTTGTTAGGTTTCATCGTCACGCTGCTTCCTTATTTCATCTGTCAAATACCGGGCCAACATTCTCCAACAAACCGCTCCATCATGTGGGCTTCTACATCTTCGTCTCTTCTCCTTATAACATTTGTCACAATCCCGGGCTGCTCTCCGTTCTCCTCTCGGCTCCATGGAACCAACTGGGCGGTCTTGAAATCAATAACTATCTCAGCTGCTTTCATCGGTCTATGCCTCATGTCCATAATCAATTTCGCCACGGCAGAGATTGGAGCGTTGCTACTAGTGCCAATGTGTCTAATGGTTCGTCCTATAAAACCCGATTTAAGATCCAGACGCGTGAAGAGCCTTTTGTGTGCGTTGTGCAGCATGATATTGGTGACCATCGGGTTCCCAGTCATGTTTTTCGCAATCTCTAAGGGATTGATAGGAGAAGGGCTCGTGGGGTTGAGCCTTGGAGGAGAGTTTTGGACATGGTTAGAGTCGCTGTGGGCATGGAAGAGCGCGACATATCTATACATAGGTATGGTTCATCTTCCTTGCTGGCTCCTTTGCCTCTGCATATTGTTTCATCCTTGTTAAATCTTCTTTTGCGTATCCATGTCCAAGATTCAGTTTTCCCCTTTACTTCGGCGAAAGTTACCTACACTCTAAGATTTTGTTATGTTTTGTATTTGTCACTTGCTAATTAGTTAAGAAGTCTGATGTATCTTTAGAAAACTGAGGTCATGAATGAATGCAGTGTTAAGCATTGGCTTTTTGGTTTTTAAACATCATGAACTATTTTTCAAAAAAAAACACAATACACTATTTACTTCATCCAACAATCATGTTTTGTAAATTTGTTGTTCTGTTGAAAGAAAAAAGATACCATGTTTTGAAGCTATGCTCTGAAGCTGAAGCTATTAGCGTTAGTTGCTTATATAAAGTATCCATTGATGTCATTAGTACATGATTCATACAGACAAAGAGAGCAAAATTGAGAATATCTACGAGTTAATTACATATGATAGTTTACTATAAAGCTTCTGGTTGCAATGAAACTAAGACAGAGGGTGTTCTCTGCCCAAACCCCATCATGGAATTACCCAAATCGAAATCCAATACAAAACCTTCTAATTGTAGCCCACCCATTGTAATCGGGCTGACCCGATTTGGACCGCCGTCTACAATTCCCAAGCATCGGACGCCACTACCAACATCCACCATTAAATTCCTCCCCTGAATCCTCCACCTCACCATCTCGCTCTGCAACGTTAGATCCACCGCCGGGAAATCTACTTCACTCGTGAAACAGAGCCCGAACGGTGCTACGGGAGCCACCAGTGTAGCGTTAGTGGCGGCTTTGGTGAAAGCTTCCGCGAACACCGCGTAGATCGAGCTCTCAAGCATCGTGTAAAGGACCACCGTGCTTAGTACCGCCGCTAACGGACCACCGTCCACGGAGAGCTTTTTCCCGTTGACTCTGATTGATCTCACGTTAATAACGTAATTGCCACTCGAGCCGGTTAACACAGGCGTGTAGATCAGCGATTTAGACACGCTCGAACCGAAAACCTCCTCCACCGATCTCGTTGACACGACGCCGTCCGACGGCGACAGGTGAATCGTTAAACGACGCCGTTCCTTGGTTTCCGCGGCGAGTTGTGAGGGGAGAGAGATCTGGGCCCTTCCAAGGCCCATTACTCCTTGAGCCCCACTAGCGAGCCCACGTAACAGCCACGGAGGAGCACAAGCGAACAGCAGATCAACGGTTCCCGGAGAAGAAACAGATCCAAATGACACGACGTCTCTGGCGAGCTCTCCCCTTGCCGCAATCTCGACGACGTCGTTTTTCACAAGCAAATCGCAATCGGCGGGATGGTCTCCACGCGATGATACTCGGTCATTGCCAACCTTGGCCTTGAAGCAGCCGCTAGAGCTCCCGGAGATCAGACTCCGAGACGAGGAAATATGTCCAGATGAACAATCGAACCATAGAAGGGGACCGGAGAGATCCAATACGAGCTTGACGGGCTCCGACGAGTCTCCGAGACGAATTTGTGCGACGTATTGACCGGTTGGTATGTCTCGAATGACGGGGAAAACGACTCCGTTAAGCGAATGAGAGATCTGAGATTCGGAAATGAATAGAACGGAGAGGAAGGAGAAGACGAAGAGATTCAGATAAGAAGAAGAAGCCATTGGAACTTGGAAGTGTGACTGATTGGGGGAGGAAATGGATCTGGACGGTTTTAAAGGAATTTTAGGTTCTTCTGGTTTTGGATAAGTTGAGAGACGCGGTGGGCCGACGCTGGTTTAGACTTTAGAGTAGTGAATGTGAATCGATAAGGATTGGTTAGTTTTAAGGTAATTGCTGAGTAGACTGCGTGTCGTTTTGCGAATTTTTTGTGGGGACTTTTTCTTTTTTGTTTTTTATTGGGTCAATGTTTATCCATTTACTAAAGAAAAAGGAGACGCTTAAGGGATTTTGGCACGTGCGAGGGAATTTTATAATTCATATTTTCTTCTCTTTTGGGAATATCCGTAATGGTCTATAGTTTATGCCCAACTACGCTAGTTGGGGTTGTTGATTCTTTAGTTATTTTTTTCACGTGGCAATTCGTTATTTTTAAGTGTACATAAATCATATGCATAACAGGAAAGAAAATGTGGGTTTTATGAATACAGAGATTGGGCTCATTTATAACTGACTGGGCATCATGTTAAATATAAATGGCGATATGACCCAATAATTGGGATGCAAATTGTGTATCGTCCATCATTCATCGACACTTGGCAGGGAGATGATAATCTTGAATTGGTCAAATCTAATTAACAGAAAGCACAGAGATTAGCAACATATTATATGTTATTCGATGGTGGATGAGTAAACTTCCCTCTTGCTCACTTGATCAAGTCAAAAGGGAAAGAAATCACTCGGCAGATTTGTTAGCTAGGAAAGCTTTGGAGAATGATTCTTCGTACTCTGTTTTTGACTTTCCCCCAATTTGGTTTGTAAACAGTTTTTATTTCCCTTTCACAATTTAATAAAATCATAGAATTAAAAAAAAAAATCATCAACACTCTCCACAAAATTACATGGACTTTATCAGTGCTTCCCTTTAGTGGGAAAAGGCAATGGCAATGGTTTTGATTTCTAGGCCACACTTTTGGTAACAAAGTTTACTTAAGTTGGTCAAAGGTTCAAAGGTTTTGCTGGTTGGTTTTCTATAAGACTTTTTGTTCATAATCATAAAACAATTCCTTATTACTAAAATATCCATTAGTATTGTAAAATGAAAAACAAATGTAATAATTCGATTCTGTTATGTGCTTGCAACTTGTAAGAAATCGATTTATCTCTTGCAACATTTGTCTCTGTCCAGAAATAAAGAAAATACAAAAATAGAAAGCTTTTAAAAGAAATCTACCAAAGGTCAAGCTTTCCATGAAAGCTACCAAGCAAGTACCACATAAACCAAAAATATAGTACTTGAATACTATAAATAGACCATGTACTTCATTATGGCAAGTGGCAACCATATCATTTCCCAAATCAAAATAGTAAATTTATACAACAATGCCTTCTTTGATCATTATGTTCCCGCTCTTTATCATCTTAACCCTACAAACTTCCCTCACCGCCGGCGTTAAAAACCCAAACCCACCGGTTTTTCTACTTCCGTTGATCAAAGACAAAGCCACGAGCCTCTACTACACAAACCTCAACCTCGGAAACAACAATCAATCTCCTCTCACTCACAGCCTCGCCGTAGATATCGGCGGTGGCTCATCCGTTCTCCTCCGCTGCAACACTGCCGCTAAATCCACCACTTACCTCCCAATCGGCTGCAACTCAGCTAGATGCAAACAAGCCAAGCCCGACTTGCTCTGTTTCAACAAGACCAACACTTGCGGCAAATACGTCTCCACTTCCTTCACCGAGCATCCACTCAACACACTTCTCGGTCTTGACTCCGTCTCTCTTCTCACCCTGAAACCCAACGGCGTCACTAACACCGTCCACTCTTCGCTGACTTTAGCTTGCACCAACGACGCTAACGCATTAAAGCTCATGCCGGAAGTTGTCAACGGAACCATCGGTCTTGGCAAGTCTTCAATCTCGCTCCTTTCCCAGTTGGCGTCGATGCACAGAATCCGGCGAAATTTTGCTCTCTGTTTACCCTCTAAACCGGCCGGTTTAGGAAGTCTTCACATTGGAGGAGGCTCTGTTTACACTAACGATGTCTCGAAGAGCTTAGCCTCGACGCCTCTGATCGTTGACGGTAAGTCCGGTGAGTACTTCATTGACGTGAATTCCATCGAAATCGCTGGAAAGATCATTCCTTTAGATAAGAAAAGCCGTGGAAACGCTATGATCTGTACTCTGGCTCCTTACACCGTCTTGCAGACTTCTATTTACAAGGCTCTGGTTAGGGAAGTTGTGAGGGAAACTAAGATGTTGAGAGCCGCAAAGGTGAAGCCTTTCGAGGCATGTTTCAGCTCCAAAGGGATGAGACTTGCGGCGTCGGTTCCGGTGATTGATTTGGTGGTGAACGGCGGAGCTAAGTGGAGGATCAATCCGTGGAATTCGATGGTGAAGATGAAGGGAGATGTGGTTTGTTTAGGGTTTTTGGATGGAGGTGTGAATATGAAGACGACGGAGATGGTGATCGGAGGTTTTCAAATGGAAGATCATGTTGTGGAGTTCGATCTCGAATCTAGCAAGTTCTCTTTTTCATCTTCGCTTTTGCTTCACAATACCTCTTGTAGCCATAAGTAATATACTATATTTCTCTAATTACATTTTTGGGGATTCGATTAATGGTATAAAACGATAAAAACCAAATAGCAGGGAAAAGATAACAGTAGGATCATTAAAAATGATAATATACAGTTTTTGGATCGATAGTCTTTTTCACTTTTGTGATGAGTACTATTATCAAAACAATATACATTTTACTGTAACTTAACGGTTAAAAGTTACTAATAAGGCAATTATCGATTGTTAGAGAGTAAAGAATATCCTCAAGAAAATAAGATGAACAACCAAAAAAAAAAAAGGAGTATAGAGGTAGGGAATTTTGATATCATTTTGTGAGTACTTCCAAGAAATTGAGAAATAGAAAATACCCACGCGGAATCCCAAATGCCCATATGCAGCATCATACATTCATCACGTGGCCATCACGACTCACACGTGAATGTCGTTGAATGTCACATAATTAGTCTAACACACGATTTACATGCAAAAAAGCGCCTACCTGCAGTGAATGGTTGGTTTATGTGAACTAAGACTACCTTGAAATTTGTATTTAAGGACGTACTAGTTTTTTTTTTTTTTTTATTAAAGGACGTACTAGCTAGTTAGTTGTATTGATAGTCTAGGGTAACTGTTTAGCATATAGTATTTACATCATCATCGCACAATATACAATATAAAGAAAATGCGACACATAATTAAGTGCATACAGGCGGATACAACTCAACTGGTGTACAGATAAAGTAATAGGACTGTATCATGTCGAGTTTAGTTTGGGAAAATCAATTTAAAATTAATGCTCCGGCTTCTGGTGTGATTAATGAGATATACAGAGCTGTGAATATGAAGACGACGGAGATTGTGATCTTTCGTGATAACGTGACTACTTGAGCAGCGCTCGTTATGGATCTTGCTCCCGGTCCCGGATTTCAACCGCATATGTTACTTAATTCACTTACTACAGAATGTACTAAAAAACTGGTTTATTAATATTTTGTCACGTGTTATTTACTCAATTTTATACTTATATATTTTCGTAGATATATCTACGCGATATTATTCAACTATAGAAAATAGTCAACTTGAACCTCAACAACAATTCAATTTGCTATAAATAAATTATTCATATATATGATATATCTCTAGTAGTCTACCTGATCATCACCAATTGATCTCTTTTTGGGAAAGAGGGAAAGAAAAAGGAAAGAAAGATGCAAGGCCTGACGCGTCACTTGGTCTTCCTCTCCATTTTCGCAGCCGTAACTCTGAAACTAAAAGCCCAATACCTTCTTCCCATCAACAAACACCAACCCACCAAACAATTCTACACCACTTTAAACATCGGATCCTCCCCAAAATCACCGATCAACCTCGTCCTCGACCTAGAAACAAACCTCTCGTGGCTAAACTGCCGCAAAATCAAATCTTTATCCACTTACCGCCGCGTCGGCTGCAACACCTCCCTCTGCAACTCACTCCCCAATGGTCACTGCCAAGAAAACACATGTTACAACAGCCAACCTAACCCTCTCAACAGAATCCCACTCATCGCTCGCTTAGGCCAAGACAGAGCCTCCTTCACAACCACCGACGGCAACAAAACCTCCGTCCGTAACTTCACATTCCTCTGCGCCGGCCAGAAAGACCTCCGAGGCTTTTCTCCTCCGGCCGCCGGAGTTCTTGGTCTCTCTCCCGGAGCATTGTCGTTCCCGAAGCAAGTGACCTCAGCGTTTAATGTCATCCCAAAGTTTGCTCTATGCTTGCCTTCTTCTTCCACTGGCCCCGGCCACTTGTACGTCGGGACCGGTCCTTACTTCAACGATCGTCTTTCGAATATTCCGATGACCTTCACGCCGTTTACGATCACAGAATCTGGAAAGTATCTCATCAGCGTCAAAGCTATCTACGTTGATGGATTCGGCTTGTCGTTGGATCGCGAGTTGCTTGTTCCAGGTGCCAAACTCAGCACGGTTGTTCCTTACACAACACTCCAATCTGATGTCTACACTGCTCTTGCTAAATCATTTACACTCAAAGCAGAGGTATTAACTAAAAACAAAAACAAAAAAAAATCCTTATATTTTGTACTTTATGTTAAATTTTAATTTGATTGAATAATTTTTACATTTAACGTATTTTGTTTTGATTGATCAATTTAATAAAAGTCATTTCTTTTCTTTAATTAACTAAAATAATGTTTTTCACCGAGTGCAGGCTATGGGACTATATAAGGTATCAACGGTCGCACCGTTCAAAGACTGTTTCGATGTAGGAGCCACCGAGAGGGAAAGGAAGGGGCCGAACGTGCCGGTGATAGAGATTGGACTGCCGGGGAGGATACGGGAGGTGAGATGGAGTTTTCACGGGGCTAATACGGTGGTTAGGGTTTTGGAGACCGTCGTATGTTTGGCTTTCATTGACGGAGGAAAGAGACCAAATGACCTGATGGTGATAGGGACACATCAGCTCCAAGATTACTTGGTGGAGTTGGATTTTAGTAGGACGGTTTTAGCCTTTAGTGACTCACTCTTGCTCCACAATACTAGCTGCTCTTCTTAGCCTTCCCAGAAGTAGAAGTGGAAATTGAATCACAACCACAAGCTTCTGAATTTTCTTTCCTTATGTACCGCTTGTTTTTTTGCCGTGTTCTCTTAATAACAAATATTTGAAATGAAGGTTTTGGTTAGCGGGTTATTAGGAAATCGAATTCGAATTTTCACCAACTATATCAGACTTTCACTATTGACTCTTTACCTGGTTATAATTTAAATAAACAGCATATCCAATTTTCTGAATATTTCAAACATTAATTTAGTTTGAGTTTCTTTTTAAGACAAAGAAAGACACTATAATATAATTTGGTGAACTTTTTTTTTTGTCGGGTTAGCTCATTTTGGGTAATGTAAACTTACCAATCCTCATCGTTTTAGAGTCTTAAAATTTAAAAATTAAAACTAAATATATTAACCTTTGAAACACGGTACTATCATAGTATCATCCATAATTATGGCACGTGGTCCATAGATCATCTCATGGCAAAACACATGCTTGCAAATTGCAACCACTTACCGACGATGACAAGGATCACACGTGGATATTAATTTTTAATTATTAATTTTTCCCATTTTTAGCAATTTACACGTTCGTGTCTGATGATTATAAAACAAAATTTCAGGATTCAAAAGCAGCAAGTGGCAATAGTCAAAGAGTCTGAACGGGAATCACGTCCACAGAAGTTAATGTTCCAGACACACTTGTCGGTTGTCACAGTTATGATGCCGTTTCCGTTCCCAACAGCTCACAATAGATTAACCTCAGTTTAATTCGTTGATCGAGATTGTGAGAGATGATTTGTGTTTTTAAGCGTAAAATAGAAAGATTATAAGATATCCACCAGTAAAAACTCGGAATCTTCAATACGTACCAGATTTGAGTAAGAGACACTATGGATAAAAACTCTACTCAAAGTCAAAGGAACCAAGTATCATACACTTCTTGACAATCACCCCTCTAGACTTTTCTGATCTTGATTGAATCTGTCTGCTTTCACTTTGGTTGTATGAAGGTATGTGATCTTTTCCCTTTCAATTTTCCATCTCTTTTGTTTGTTTTTTTTTTTTGTTAGTCTTATTGAGTTTAGAGTTTAGATCAACGACAACGAACTAATCAGTATATATATTCTCCAAATTTCTGATATGATCAAGAGTGTACTATGAAAATTATTTTAAAATCATATGAACAAAAACAACCAATAACAAGTGATCTTTTTTTAATTCCCTTAAGAATCGAGACAATAATTCAAAATATAGCTGAAAAAGAATCAAAAGAGAAGGCGTGAACTTGCCGACGTATTATACAACGTAAACCTAACTTCGCAAACGTTACTTGTAACCAAATTACCAAAACATATTCTTCTGATCTGTTTTTAGCTTTTTTTATTCCCAAGATAGACGAGGATCGGTCCTCGATATGACTATAGGCTTATTTTATTTGGACCAGTAAAAATTAAATTGAATAAAAGTAGGGAAGCACCGGATAAGTTACGAAATTGTTTAATTATGCCACGAGTTACACGATAACATCGAGATATGTAGTTGGAAATGTATCATTTTGTAGTCCTTCCAAGAAATAGAGGAAAATATTACAGCATGTGGTCCAGATATCATCGGATAAATAAACACATACACTGCTGCAAAATTACTAGTGTCTCGAAGTAAAACCTCACATGCGTTCCTACATAAATTATTTTTTGTTACCATTTCTATGTACATTAATCATCTAGTAATAGTGGCCATGTGGAAGTTATGATAGTGGCCATGTGATCACTGACCTAGATGACAAAGAAAATAATAGATTATCCCTAAATTTTTATCAAGATAAGGTTTTTTGTTTCCCTCATTTCTCTAGAAATTCCATCTCTCTCACCCGATTCCTTATTTGTAGAAATATCTCTCTATCAGTTCTCTCGGAATTTTGTATCCCGTACGTGCTCTCTCTCTTGTAGGTATCTCATATTATGGTGGATCATGTTACATCGGCAAATAAAAGATGATTTGTCATGGTAGTCATCATCTGGAACTAATTTGGAAAAAAAAAACCCATTATACTGTCACAAACTAAATATCTTTGTACCGTCGGTACACTTTTAATACAAGATGTGGTAGTGTACTTTCTTATCAAAATCCAACCAACTGAAAACGACCCTGTTAGATCTCGTTGACTTTTATTACTTGGAAAGAAAAATGATAACGATCATAACATAGATGATCAATCATGTGCCTTACATCCCGCGTAACCTCTCAATTGAGCAAGAAGTGTTGTAACGCAAAAGTGAAGAAGAGAAAGAAAATTTGGAAGCCTTGAGATCGAACTCCAACAAATTATCCTCCATCTGAAAACCTCCGATCACTATCGGGTTCTTCACCTTCACACCTCCATCAACAAACCCTAAACAAACCACATTCTTCTTCACCTCCACAAGAGAATTCGACCCCTGGATCCTCCACTTAGCCCCTCCCTTCAGTACAAGGTCGATCATGGGAACTCCACGTCCTCCATTGGAACGGAAGCACGCACCGAAAGGCCTCACAGCCGGAGCTTTAGCCATCTTGGCCTTTCCAACGAAGGCTGTGAGCAGAGCCTTGTAAATGGAAGTGTGCAAGACAGTGTAAGGAGCCAAAGTACAGATCTTTGTGGCTCCACTGGGTAAAGCAATGGTGTTTCCGTCGATTAGGATAGACGTCACATCGATTAAGTAATCACTGGACTTGCTATCACGAAGCAGAGGCGTGGAGGCAAAGAGCGTAGAGACATCTTTAAGAAGAGGAGGATAATAGTAATAAGGACCTCCACCGATCCAAAAGTCACCGGAATAAGTCTTGAACCCTTTAGCGGAAGGCAAACAAAGAGCCATCTTTGGAGAAAACTTGTACATGGAGATGAGCTGCGAGGGAATCGATAAGTGGGTGTTAGCGAGACCGATGGAGCCAGTGAAAGCCACGGGGATACGTTTCAAGGCAGTAGAGTCGTCAGTGCAAGTCAAAGTCACCGTGGAGCTCTTTTCGGAGTCCATAGTGTATACTCCATTATAGGTGTACAATAAGTCGACGGTGTCTCGGATGAACCGGGTGTTGACGGGTCGGGTCGTCAAAGAAGTTGAGAGGTATTTGCGGCACGAGGGTTTCTTGGTGGCGGTGGGGTTGATGGGACAGGAAAAGCTCGGGTTTGCGTATTTGCATCTTGTGGAGCCACATTTTATGGAGTGGTATGAGGCGGATTTGGCGGCGTTGGCGCAGGTTTGCAGTAGCGGTGCGGCGCTGTTGAGGTCAATGAGGAAGGTCCGGGTGGTTGGATTCATCCCGGGTTCATATTCACCGATGGTCAACGGGATGGAGTAGAGATTTGTGACGTTGTCTCTGTAAATAGGGTGTAGAAATGCTTGAATCTTTTCTTCTTTAGAGTGTGATGTGTTTGCGTGGTAGAGAAAGATGAGTGAGAACAGGAAGAATATCACTCGAGGAGCCATATTTTTTTTTCTGTTCTTTTTTTTTTTGTGATTCGTTGTTACTTGGGACTGTGATGTGAATTACTTAGACTAACTATTATGTTTATATATATAGTATGATATGGGGCCTCTTCTTTTTTTTTTTTTTTTTTGGGTGGATAAATCCTCTTCATTTCTTGCTGCAATATATAGTTAACATTTGAGGTAAGTTTTTGTCGTTTGGTAAGGATGAAGCCAGAAGCATCATCATACCACGTGGTCGCATTTAAGATCTAAATAACAGATCTTAACCGTTAGTTAAGGCTCCAATCTAGCCATATGCTGCGGATTCTGGTATCACCATGTCCCCGAGATGCCTATTTGACAAATCTATTTTATTTGGATACTTGTTGTCTTGGTGATATCAGAACGACAGGTGTGGAACTAGAACGATGCAATCAAACGAAATAAGTAAAGTAAATGTAAAATACGATGTGATAAGTAATGCCAAATATGAAACAGAATGAAATTAGCGAATCAAACAAGTGAAAATATAATAATTACAAAAATTCATAAATTTTCTTGAACATTTCAAATATAGATTTTGTAAAAGTGTTGATTTAGCCAAATACACATTGTCATCAAATAATTATGTGGATGAAGACATCACTCTATGCCGTCCCCGCTCAGCCTAGGGAAACACTATTTTATTATAAAGAAACGTTTCTCGAGTGAATCAATGAAAATATCTGATACTAAAACACTTTTTTTTGTAATAATTAATATTATAATTCAATCGATCTGATAAACCTTCCTCCACTTGTTACTAAAGTATAAGCCAGCTTGAAAGTATAAAGTACTTTTTAGTAGATTAACAAAAACAAATAAGAAGTGGTCAAAAAAAAAAAAAAAAAAACAAAAACAAATGAGAAATTATGTTTCAGTATAGAGTTTCTGACAATTTGCAAAAAGAATTGTCGTCCTAAATCCTAATATAAGATAAATGCGACCGACGGTTTTTCTTTTTCTTTTCTGGAGTATGTGACCGACGGTTTCACACCAGATATTATATAGTTATCAAAGAAAAAAAAATGGATTCCATTTAAGAATTGGGGCAGTGGGGGAGCCGGCCCAAAATTTTACGGGGATCAATTTAATTTATTCAACTGATTAAACAAATATTACGAGGGTCAATAAATTGATTTTACAATATTTAACTAAATTTTCTTTTCAAATTACAAGTAAATATTTTTGGTAACAAAAATCCACATGGATCATTTGACCCCCTTCAGAAGAGTTACCTCCGCCACTGAATTGGGGTGGGCCTGTTTTCAGTCTTTCAGGCAAACGATAGAGTAACGATGTTTGATATCGAAAACGATGGGAGTTTATCGCTTTTTACATTTGGAGTTTGAAGCATTTCGTGGAATAAAAATACTATGCAAAACTGATCAGGTTTACTGTAATCTCCTAAATAGACGGTGCAGCTGACTCGTTTTCTCTTATGTACTTTATGTTTTCTTTCTATTCTTGGATGTTTTAATATTACAACCATGCATGGACATCCGGTTTAATCGATCCAAATCGGTTTAGATCTTTCGGAAAGTCGATTCAATTCGGTCCGGATGTTGTTAAATTTTGGTTCGGTTTGGGTTTATAGGGATCGTTGCTAAATGAAAATCGGTTTGGAATGGAGTTGATATATTTAAGTGAGTAGTGGGTTTGATTAAGGGCGACCGACAATATAAAGATTATAAATCTACGATTCTACGTATACAAACGTCTATTTTTTTGTTGTTAACTGATTAATATATATTTTTAACCAGGAAACTGTCCAGTTGCTCATTCAAACCATGCATGCGTAAGTACAAAAAAAAATATTGTAAGGACAAAATTGTTTAATTAAGTATTCCACAAGGTACTCGACATTTTAAAGAAAATTCATAAAGATATTTGAAATTTGGTAGTGGTTCCAAGAGATCGAGGAAAAGATGACAGCAAATCATACCGAAAAAAGAGGAAGATTACAGCATAGACCATACGGTCCATACATAAACACATGCTTTTCTATCTGTATTTCTTTTATTAGTAGTTTCTCGACAGAAAATCTCATATGGATACCGTTCCTATTAGGGGCATCAAAATAGATTACAAGTTATGGAGGTGATTTTTTTTAGTACATATATTTTATATACGACCTAGTATGTCCATTAATCAATTTACCGAACATTCACGTAGCGTGAGTCAAAATCTAATAATAATATAAGATAATTAGGTAAAAATAATACGAGATAATTAGGTAAAAATTCCAATATTTTGATAATATTAAGAAAATAGAAAAATAGTAAATTTGTCTTATTACTCTTTACCTCTTCTTTCTTTATTACAAGTCTTTTTTTCTCATATGAGATCTCTCTCATTATATTTCTTTTGTCATATAAATTATACAATTATATAATTTGTTATCAAATTATATATTTTGTTAGCATGGTAAATTATTAACCAACCATCACGAATTGTTATTAAGACATTAATCTAATTTTATATTTTTTCTTTTATTATATTTATTTAATGATAATAAATATTAATTTAGTTTTATTTTAATGTTTATGATGTGTTAAATTGTAAATTATTGGATTTTTATTTTAATTTAGTATTTTTTCATTCGTATTATGTTTCATACATATTTATACAGTAAAAACTCTATAAATTAATAATATTAAAACTCTTAATTTTTATTAATTTATAGAATTATTAATTTTATAAAAAAAATAATTGGGTTAAAATTTAAATTTAGGACTAACAAAATTTGTGAACCAGGTTCGACACATTCAGGCCAGATTAAACCGTAAGGTCCGTAACCTACATACTTAATCAGTTTGGCTTCGGGCCGGGTTTAAAAAATATTGTTTATGACAATGTTATTTTTCCATCATGTCCAACATACAGTATGATGAACTTTTACATAAATCTCTACTTTCTTAATCACTCGTAGATATTTGAAAATTGGGCCATTCTTTATATGTTAAAACACTCAAATCAGTTCAAGCCCAGTAATACGAAAAAGCCCATAAAATATTCCTTGATGTATTGTATGCTTGTAGCATATGGATGAATGAAAATTCGGCCCAATTTGTTTTATTAAAATGTCGCCGACTAATTACTAAAAGATATCTTACAAAGGCAAATTAATCACGGAGCAGATTCCATTTCAAATAGCCAGTCAAATTCCGATCATGGTAACTGGTAAATCAACTTGTCCATCAACTATTTATAATTGAGGGAATCCTATGATCATTGTACGGTGCAATTGATTGCTATTTAGGAAATAAGATAGGCTTTAATCATTTATATAAAAAAACAATAATAATTTCAAAAAATCCCGATTATAAATAATCGTAAGCTAGCAAAAAAGAAGAAATGTTTACAAACAAACTTCTGCTAAGTTGCAAAAAGTGGATGATAGTATTAATTTTTCATTCTTATTTCATTTATAGGTAGTCGATTTAGTCTAATGATCACTCTCAACTCTTAACGACTTTTAAAATTCATTTCCAAACTACTACAACATTATAAAACACAATAATATATATCTACCAAGAATAGTTAGCTATTCAGTACAGAAAAAAACTCAATAACCTAACATTCCAATTGGAGAGATGTGTGCACAACTAAAATGCAGTCATCCAAATTTTTTTAAAAACGACCCATATCATAATGTTGTGCAATCACTCGCAAGTTCCACTTGCTGTTTTGCTGTCTTTTTGTGTGTCAATGTGTATGGGTGGTGTCTTTTTCATACAAAGTCATCGAGGGATTTTGTGCAATTACAGTCCTCAGATTCTCTGTGATCTCTCTTTTTAAGTTAAACATTTCGTACCAATCACTTTTTCTAACTCCTATTTACACTACACTGTGCTTCACATGCCCAAACATTTGTACCCACTAATTCCTTTTTACTCACATCCGCCAATGTATTATTAACTTCTCTCTCATTTCTTTTTTCACGCGAGATATATAATCAACATTTCTTTCTTCTGATTAGTTGATTGTTTTGGTTTTGTAACGTACTTTCTCTTTGATTAACCGAGAAGTAACGACATCTCTTTATTAAATTTATTAACATAAATTTAAGAAAAGAGAGAGAGAGAGAGGGAGTAATAATGAGGCGTGGGGTGTAGTGAGGTATGGAGTAAAGTGGGGTCCACTAAGCTTGAAAATCCACCGTACATGAGAAAGATTCCCATATTAGATACATGGGTCCCATCGCCTTTCCCGTAACTGACGATCCTCACCGTTTATTATTTTCCCATTTTATCGAATTGTTTTTTTTATAATATATGTCTGCATTGCATTGCACCGAATTATTACGTATCGGCTCGATCCGGCTCGGCTCGTAGACCGTTCGGATTTTCCGGTAAAATAATACTTTATATACTAGTAGAGGAGTATTATAGGTTTCTTTCTCTCTTACATTGTAGCCTTTACCTCTCCTTTTTGACCGCTCATTCGCAGATAAGAAGATTTTTTATTCGCTCTTTTTGACAGACGTAACAAGCAAATCAAGAATCTGTTGAATAATTTTTTCTTTTTAATATTGTGTAGTACTTACTTACTATATAAAATCATGAGAATATCATACCTAGATGAAATATATTTCCATATTTTTAGTATATCAAAAGATCTATATGTTTGAGGTCGTGAATCTTCGAAAAGGAGGATTCGTCCATGTTAGTTATTTGTCACCTCCTCTCCTCCTTTGTATTTGAGGCCGTTGAAAGTATTTATAAGAAATTATCATGACTAGATTGAAGAGTTTTGGGAGCAAATATAGACTCTTGAGACCTAGATAGTTTGTCCAGATTGTGGATTTGTGGATTAAGATGATGTGACCTATTATCTTCCAAATGTTTTGGAGGCCGGTTTTATTAACCTCCCCAAATACCGATCATGTTTGTGTTATTTATTAAATTGCCAGGAGTTGGTAATAACTAGAAATTCACCCCTAATAAAATAAATTAACAAATTCTTAATGAATAAAAATTAAAATTAACTATTCAAGTAACTTTCGGTTTTCTTATAAAAACAAGTTATATTATTAATTAATGTTTTCTGAATGTAAATAATTTTATTATTTATTTTAGATTTAGTATTATTTAGAGAACGACACTGGACCACTGATCATAGATTGTGAATGGTATTAATATTTAGTTTTACCAAGGCAAAGCGAATGTTTAACAATATACCTTAGAAGTCAGTAAAGAATTATTCTTTGTTGCAGTACAAAATAGTTGGCAAACCTTTCATATTCAAGAGAATAATTTTGTTAATCAAATATAGAATTGGGTTCAAACTTGGGAATTAGCAAACAAAATATAAGAAAATAATTA